CTGTTCTTGAGGGGCTACTTCTGGCAGTAGCCAACAGCTGCTGATTTTGATGTAATACGTGTTATGTACGTGAAGATTTATGAGATCTGGGAACGTGTAGCATATTCCTTGCACTGATCTTGGCTGGTGGTATCAGTTGGGCAGGATTCCAAATGTTTTACTCCCCCCCCCTTTACTTTTTAGGATAAGGAGGATGTTCAGTCCATCATTGTTCTGCAACGCTTCTTTGAAGCCAAACTGAGTGCTGCCTTTGGTGACCGGAAATTTTCAGCCCTGCGTGAGCCAATCAACATTGATGAACCACAAAAAGAAAACACACTTGCTTCCCGTGTTTCCCCGGTCACTGATCCGGGTGAGGCCATGTCTTCTAAGGCTGATAGCAGTGGGGATGAGGGAATGGCAAGCTAAAAGGTTACTTTTTTCAATGGACCACCATTGAAAATGGACCACCATTCCATGGAGACGAAATGAGGGAGCTGCCAATTTAACTCACTGTCACCCACCCCCCTCCACTCTTTCGGTCCCCTGGTCCCCCTTTGACCTTTTCTGCACCTCTCTGCTTTTTTTGGAGAGTTATTGTAGATCTTGACTGGTTAGATCAGTATTTCTCAACCTCAGCAACTTCCCAGCTAGCATGGTACTGGGAAATTCTGGGAGTTAAAAATCCACACATCTGAAAGTTGCTGAGGTTGAGAAATACTGGCTTAGATAATGTTATAAATGGTCTGAACAGTTTTTTTCTTGATAAATTTTATCCCTTGTTCTCACAGAGATACTTTGTGGTTTTCTTTTTTTTCTTTTTTGTATTGAAAGGATAATTAATCTGAGGTAACCTAGAAGTCTATATATCATGTTTTACAGTTGGATTTTTTTTGTCAAGTCCTAATGGGAACAGTATAGAAGTTCCCTTTATTAACACTTTCTCAAATTTTCACTAAGGAAAAAAACTTGGTGTTAAATATCTCCATTTTAAATTGCTTCTCCTTAAAATGACTACTTAGATTAAAAATTATACAGATTTTAATGTCTCACCTGGTTTTTGTTTGACAGATTTTATGCCCTTGTTCTGATTTTTTTTGGTAATATGGTAATAGCAATTAATAAAATTGAGCTAATTAATGCTCTCCAATTTAACTCCTTTTTGCTCCTGATGGGAACAATATAGAGATTCTTTTTTTTAAAACCACTGAGGAAGAAGCTGTTATTGAATTCCCCCAGTAAGGAATCACTGCCCCTTCAAATATACTGGACTACTCTTGGTGAATTCTTAGACACTAATTGTTTTGAGAATCAAGATCAGTCTTAATCTCTGTTTCATAAGAGGATAAAGAACATCTTGTTTTGGTATAATTGATGAACTTCCCAATTGTGGTACCAGCCTAGATGGACAGCTGACAAAGTAACAGTTGGCCCGCCAAGACAGCTTTCTTCTCAAATGGTTATTGCTTTATCTGAAAATGGGATTTTTTTGCTTTTGCTTTTGTTTGCTCAAGAAGAGTCACGTCTGTTTCCATAGTTCAGGTTAGTTGTAGATTTTTTAAGCTGCCTTTCTGGCTTTACATTTCTTCAAAAGCCCAGTAGTTTTATTCATTGTCCCAAGAAACGTTTTCATGGAGATGTGCTTTTTAATTTGCTTATGTATAGACTTGGCTTCTTTCATGTTCAAAAAATAAATGATGTTTACAATTTCTGTGTCTTGTCAATTACAAAACATTTCATAACTAACTAATAACATAATAACTATAAATGTAAGGGGGTTGCTGAGAGATAGTAATTTGGTTTTTAAGTGTAATCAAGTCTGCCTTCATATGATGCCATTCTTAAATGATGTTTGATTAGATCACTCTTTGTACTTTTGTGTTTAACCTTATAATTACCATTTTCCCAATTTAGCCCTGTCTTGAGATGTATACTCCAATGTTTCTGACTTCATCTTTTGTGGAATTAACAAAATTAAACAGGATCTTTTCTGTGCATATTTGGATTAAAGACATGAGCTAGACTTAAACTTTCTTTCTTTTGGTTAAGTTCATCCTGTTTCTTAAAAGATTAAAGCAACATACTAACTTAACTACAAAGCAAACCAACAAGATTTCTTTTTAAATCAAAAAGTGAAGACAAGGTATATCATTTTGAAATTCCTGGCTCAAGATCTCCAAGCTCAATTCATGCTGGTGAAAAGAATATCTGCAACAAATATGCCAGAACTGTAAAAGCAGCACACATAAAAAGCTGTTTTTCCATCTTGACTTCAGAATAAATACAACTTATTCCATAATAAATTAAAAACATGATTGATGAAATCATACATATAATATCTATACAATTAAACTATAACTATAAATAATTAATTTATATTGTATATAAAATACCGGTAAATGGAAATGAGAGGGCTAAGGAAGGGGTAACAATGATTTTAAGATATAAATATTTCATATGGGTAAATGGGGGCAAATTTGTAGATCACGAAATTTGGTGGAGGCACTTGCCAGGAAGCTTAAAAAGTTAACTGAAGTTTTTTACTATTCTATTTAGTAATCTTTTTACTAAAGGACATGGAAGTAATGTTGGAAATGGAAAGAGTAGTTTCTGAGAAAACCTCAAAGATCACAATAGGACATTACATTTATTAAATTGTGAATTCTATAAGAATTGTTGTGGGAACTAGTAGGTTAGTGTGAAGGCCTGCTAAAGCAAATGTAGAGAGCATTTCCAAAATGGAAAATACCAATTCTGGGGGGAAATTGATAAAATAGTGGCAGAATACTATGAGACTGAGATTGGCATATCCTTGGGAAGGCTTGCCTACAGCCTCACACAGCACTGAAAAAATGACTTATGACCAATCTTTGTATTTACTGGGGTTGCCCAGTCGCATGATCAAAATTTTGGCACTTGGGCAACAGATATGCATTCACAAGAGCTGCAGCATTACAGGGTCATGTGATTATTGTGTGGCCTTCATAGTTGGGGGAAGTCAGATTCGTTTAAAGATAGGATCCTCTTAAATGCAGTGAGTTGCTTTACAAACCTGATGAAAAAGGTCATAAAATCAAGCCCGTCACTATACAACTGCCATGCTTGACACCTGAAACGTCCCAGTTGTCATAAGACTGTCTCCAGGGGATCAAAACAAGCTGTGACTAACAAACTTGGCCAAATCTATTGTGGCTTCAAGGGTATTTCTATTGTAGTTTCCTTGACTAGGATAGCAATAGCAGTAGACTTATATACCGCTTCATAGGCCTTTCAGGCCTCTCTAAGCGGTTTACAGAGAGTCAGCATATTGCCCCCAACAATCTGGGTCCTCATTTTACCCACCTCGGAAGGATGGAAGGCTGAGTCAACCCTGAGCCGGTGAGATTTGAACCGCTGACCTGCTGATCTAGCAGTAGCCTGCAGTGCTGCATTTAACCACTGCGCCACCTTGGCTCAGTGCCAAGGGGATACCAAATTCATTTCCGTTGCCTTTTGGATAGCTTTGTCACTTCATAGTCTAACCTACAATGCTGGGATGAACTTAAAAGTAGTAATTTCTCACAGAAGTACTAATCAATTTTACTTAACTAGCGCCAAGAATTACATATTGTCGTCTAGCTGGGCCCCCTTAATGAACTTAGACAAGGGGGGGGGGACTTAAGCATTTGAAGCACCTCAGAAACATCAAATTTTCTGCAAAAGAAAGTTTCCAAGTTTTACCATTCAAGCTGAGCAGAAAACAAATACAGGTAGTCCTAAACTTAAAACAGTTCATTTAGTGATCGAAGTTACAAAGGCACTGGAAAAAGTGACATGACTGTTTCACGCTTATCATTGCAGAATTCCCCATGGTCACATGATAAAAATCCAGGTATTCAGCAACTTGTTCCTATTTATGAAAGTTGCAGTGTCCTGGGATCATGCGAACAGCTTTTGCACTCTTCCAATAAACAAAAGCAAATGGGGAAGCCAGGTTAACTTAACAGCCGTGTTACTAAGTTAACTGCACTGATTCACCTAGCAACTGTGGTAAAGGTTGTAAAATGGGGCAACATTCTCTTAATTCTAAGCAACATAAATTTGGAGCTCAGTTGCGGTCATAAATTGAGGATCAGCTGTATATAAAGTAGTTTCAAAATGTTAGCGCTAATAGTGGGAGGCTAATTAAAAACTACCGAATGTAAGAAAGCAGCAGAAGAAATCTTGAAAATAAAGCTATTTAAACACATTTGACAAAATGCAAGGGTTAGGAGGCTCATGGATGTAACAACTACCCCACCATACATACTATTGTTAAAACATGAAACAATTGGGAAGCTAATCTGTGGGGAAGTAGAATCTATATATGGGTTTCTGTGGAAACCTGCTGTACCAGCTAGATGGGCAAATTAAAAGCAGAAACGTTTCCCCATTAACTGCATGAGCACAGTTGAACGTAAAAGAGACAAAGCAAGACGGATTTCCTCGCAAACCCTTATTTCCGTTATGCACGTGGGCGACTTTGTTAGGCAGGCTCAAGCGCTCTGCGCAAAACGGGGCTGCCAGAAATATATTCGCTTCTCTTTCAGCATTCGCGGGGCATTTACTGAGAAGTGATTTTAAGCAAGTATATATTAAAATAAAAACTTCCTGGAATAGTTGTTTTCCTCCTCCGCAACGCTTGCCCCGCATATTACCATAATCAATTGGGAACCGGACATTTTAAAAAAGCGCCATGACGCTGTGACTCTTGAGGGAGTCCCAGAATTCTAAGAGGAGAGCCGAATGCCGGGCGGAAATGCTTTAGCCGGAAGCCGCCCGAGGAGATTAGAAAACAGTAAGCCGAATCAGAAAACCACGAGGAAAACTTTAAAAAAAAACCAAGAAAACCACCTCGGTTGAGCCTTCAATTTGGAAAGCTTTCCAAAGCGTCACTCGTCTCCGAGCGAACGCGGCGGAGTCCTTTCGGAGAGTCGGCAAGTGGGCGGAGCTTGAGAGCAAAAGACGGAAGTTGCCGACGTTCTTCCGGGAAGGGCCGAAGAGGGCTATCCGTTGCCGTCCGACTCACACACAGATCCCGCAAATAGGAAAAGCAGCATCGGCGGCGGCGGCGGCGGCGGCGTTCTGAGGCGGGGCTGCCCCGGTTGCTTCGCCCTTTCCCTGACTCGTTCTCCTCTCCTCCCCGTCTCCTCTCCCCCCCACCCCTCGCCCGGCTTCCCTGATCTTCCCGTCCCGTTCTCTCGGCCGGCCAGACAAGGCCAGGCCGCGGGAATCGCCATTCCCCCCTCCCACCGGTCCTACTTTTCCCTCTCCTTCTCTTTTTCCCGAGAGCCGAACCTAGTATTGGGCTGGGCCTGGCTGCGGTAGCCAGTGGGGGACAAGTCGAGGCCAGGGGTCAGACGGGCGGAGGAACAGTTCACCGAGCCAGCCAAGATGATCAAGCTATTCTCGCTGAAACAGCAGAAGAAGGAGGAGGAATCGGCCGGCGGCACCAAAGGCTCCAGCAAGAAAGCCTCTGCCGCTCAACTCCGCATCCAGAAAGGTTAGGGGTGTGTGTGTAAAGGATGGGCAGCTAAGCTTTGGCTTCTAAGGGCAGAGAAACAAAAGCCAGGCCGGCGAAGGCAGGGCTCCTCCTGTTTCTCCTCCGATATAGTCCTATTGTGGGTCTCGACAGGATGAAAACTTTACCCACTCAGGGCTTTCCCTTCTTCTCCTTGATGGACATCGCGGTTTTGCATTTATTTTCACTTTTTAGTGCCAGTGATTTTTTTGTTTTGTTTTTCTTAACGTATATTTATCTAGTGATCCCCTGCAGTCCCTTAAGAGAGGTAAAGTGTGCCTGGAAAGCCTTTCCTGCTTAGTGAACGCCTCAGCATAGTACACAAAAATATCTGCTATAACATCTTACCTGTAAACAATTACCTCAACTCCACTGCAATAATATACGAATACGGGCAAACAATAGATACAAACTCAAAGTAAACTGCTCCAAAATTGATAGCAGAAAATAGAACTTCAGCAGTAGAGTGGTCAAGAGTGCCTGGAACACTCTACCTGATTCCTTGTTAGTTCCTCAAACCCCCATATCTTTAACCTTAAACTGTCCACCATGGGCCTCACATGTTTCCTAAGAGGTCCCTAAGGGGGCGAGCATAAGCGCACCAGCGTGCAGACTGTCCCTGTCCTATTGTCCCCATTAATATGCACTCTTTTTATGTTTTCATGGCCATGTTGACAAATAAATAAATAAAGTGGCTGCTTAAGGAATTCATGGGAAGATCCTGATTCCTTTTGCTGCCAGAACTCTTTGGTTAATCTCAAGAGTCTGGCTTTTCAGCCTCACCAAACCTATTTTCTTTACAGGATGAGTTATAAATACTATAAATGGCCTGAAGTGATTGTAGATACCTGAATGCTTCTCAAACTGCATATTGCTAGTTTTTTTCCTTGTCTTTCCTCTACAAAGTTTTTTGCTATTGAACAACTCCACTTGTTTTACTATAAACGTTGAAGTTAGAATAAGCTATGAGGTGTTTTCTATAAATTACCTTGTACACATGTTGTATTTTATAATTTCAAATTTTCTGTTTAAAATAACTAATATTCTTCTCTTTCATTTTAAATCATGCCTATAACATACTGTCTTACGGTAACTTGGTTGTTCCTTAATAGTTGTCAGTTCTTATGTAAAGATATTGTTTCTTTTTGTAAGATATACAGTGGATGCAAATTTCCAAAAAGCTCTCCTCGATCCATTTTAAGAAGATTAGAACATCATGAGATTGGATCAAATTTGCCTTGTGGTCTTGTCAGGAAACTCTTGATTTAGGTTTATTTTCTTTTTTCTAAAAGTTTGCAGAGAAATGTATCAGTTTTTACTTAATGATCAACATAAAGAGCAAATACATATTTTGGTTTGGGAATAGAGGTGTACTTTTCTACTGTGATGGCTCTAACCATCTGTCTTCTCTAAACTGGCAATTTGTTCTGCTTTTCCTGACAGATATAAATGAACTGAATTTGCCAAAAACATGTGAAATAGACTTTTCAGACCAGGACGATCTTCTCAATTTTAAGCTAGTTATCTGCCCTGATGAGGTGAGTGATGTGCATGCAGTAGCTATACATACTGTGCTATTTGAACCTGAAGCCCCATTATTAGTGAGTTAATAGGTTGTGCCCAGTTCTGGTGAATTTTCTCCCACCTTCCCTTTTGTACTTTCCTCCATTATACAAAGGGATGGTTGATATAATTTATTTGGAGAAAAACCACTTACTGAAAATAGCTTAAATCATTAGAGCTCTTGTATTTTGAAATTGTGAAGAGTAATGCATCAGAGGAATGATATTGTCTGGGAAATTCCATCTTGATGTTATTCATTACATCCTGCCATATTTTTTATTTATTTCTTATACATTCCCTTCTCAGCTTGCCAGTGCACCATAAATATTAAATTGTTTACTTTTTTGTTTTTAGGGTAATGCTAGTATAATATTTCCCAAAATTGGCTCTTTTTAATTTAAATGTGCAGAAGGCGAAGTGTGGCTTTTAAAAATATATATATGGTGTATATAAAAAGTCTGCATACATGTTAAAATGCCAGATTTCTGAGATGTAAACAATCAGACCAAAATTTGATTTATCTTGGGCTGATATTTTTACATCTCAAAAACCTTCCAACAATAAGATATCTTTGATTCTTTGTTAAATCTATTCAGACTATTGTTTTGGCTGTAAAAGGCAACTGAGTAAATGTCAAAAAAATCTTACTAGAACACTTGAATTTTCTATGGCCTTGATCAGAGTCATGGAGATGTATACTAATTAACATCAGCTTGAATGTGATTGTTAATACTGAACTCAGCCACCTCCCTACTTACAAGAGTGTGCATGTTTAATGTAACCATGTTATATATTTGGTATTGTTATTTCACCCCCACCCCACCCAGCACACAAAAGAGATTGCAGTTTGTTTTTAGTTGAGTTGCACAGCATATATTAAAGATGGAAAAATTTTTGAAAAATCTTGGTCTGATTTTTTTTACATCTCAAAAACCCCAGCATTTTAACAGAGGTGTGGAGACTTTTTATATCTACTGTAAATGGCTTTGTCCACACATGAGTATTCTATTTCTTCAGATGCTGGTCTTAAGTAATGATTGATTGGGAAACTTTGTGAGTGGGATGATTCAGTAAACCTGGTATGTCAAACTCGCATCGTCACAGTTACATCATGTGACTGATTGGGACTTTTTGCCATTCACTAAACTGGGGGTGAGCTTGGCCAGCATCCGGCCCACGGACCGTGAGTTTGATAGCCCTGCAGTAGACCAATGTATCCTATTATATTGGTATTCATATCAGTATATGTGATATTTATACCTTTGTACTTTAAGTCCATCATTATTGCTTAAAATTGTTCACATTTTGAATGCAATGTGCTGCATTCATACAAAGGTAGGCAAAGTGTCTTCACAAAATAAATTAATCTAAAGCGAGAATGTTAGATGAGAGGATGATAAGGAGAACTTTTAACATAATTCTATTTTTAATCAATATGATGCGATAACCTTAAAGCACATGTATAAAAATACACAAGATGAATCTGTGTGACAACTTTTCTTGTGAGAAAAAATTCCCAGATTGCTTTGATTCAGAATAATGAAGTATAATCCCATTCAGAAGTCAGAATGTTAGCAAATAAAGACTCTGTCCTCTTCTGAGTACAATGTCCTGTCTGCTACCCTTTTTGCTTCTTTATTTGCAGAAATGCATGTAAAGCTAAGCAGCTAATTCCCAATTTTCCGTGTATTTTAGGCCTATTCTAGATTGGGTAGCTGATCATGTTTCCAGGCTTTGGAAATGTGAAGTAAAGATATATAGCCTAAAATGATAAACATCTGGAGAAATTGATGGTTTGTGTTGAGGGATTGGAAAGAGAACTGCTTTGTTGTAACTTTAGTGCTGTCAACCTCCCATTTGCCCACAGCTGAAATTTATTAGAGTTGTTTATTGGAAACATACTTGCTTAAATTATCCAATGTTTGTCTTACAGGGATTCTATAAAGGTGGAAAATTTGTGTTCAGCTTTAAGGTAAGCAATCTATCTGCTTGCTATCTAAGATATCCAATAGGATAAATACTATATAATTTAGCTTTTTTAGTGCAGAAAACAACGTGGATAATACCATTTCTTGGATTTCAGCCATTCCTGTGTAATTTGGGTAGCAACATACGGATGAATGATGTCAGCATAACAACAATTTAATTCAGGGCAGAGATTGGGAATTATAGATTGCCATAAATCAAATATATTTGGTGCTTCATGTTTTCTATTTAGAGTGGAGCTGGGTTTTGCTTCTGAAGTGGGGAAAATCTCTTAATTGTTTGGGACTCAATCAGTAGATTGATTACTTAATGAGCAATTGTGTAGAATTCCAAGTATGCTTGGAACTATGATAAAGATGAGGAGGAGTGCTCAACAAAGTTTGCTCTAGATATTTTGCCTGTTAAAGGGTGTTGATAAAATAAATCACTTGCTGAGAATGAAACAAATTTTGAAAAAGAGTAATAATAAGAAATAGTCCTAATTATTGTGAATGAAACTGTTAATAGTTACTGTCTGAGGGTCATTGAATGAGCTTCCGTATATGGATTTTCAGAACTTGAGATGATCTATCTTTCAAAATTAATTGTAAGTTAATTGGATATGAAAAAATGGACATTTTATGTTTGTAATATAACATACTTACAAATTATGGATTATTTGACAGTGGTTTGCTGCACTTAAAATATCATTGTGATTCAGATAACATGTCCCAAAAATGGCCTGTTGGGTACACATGGTAGTCTATGACAACCGCCTATGTGACTTCACAACTTTCTGTACAAATGATGAGATTAGAAATCAGATCCATTATTATAATTTTTGTTTCTTAAAATAATACCTGAAGAAATTGCTTCCATGATGTATTAACTGTCTGAAATATAAGCTGGCTTGCTAGGCAGATATGCCACAGTTTTCTAATAAGATAGTTGTACATATGCTCAGCATATACTTCATAGGTGTATATTGACATTGTAATAGCTTCAATTTTCATTTAAATAAAATCTAGTAATGAATATTAATACATGTCTGAATACGTAGGTTGGTTAAAGCACAGGACAGCCAAAAATTACTTGAATTTGAATTCCTTTTATATATTAGAAGAATTTCTGCCAGTCTTTCTAATAAAAATACTTAGGATAAACTATGTATACTTACCTTTGTGTCAAAAGTTAGGCTATAAAAATTTTAAAACAATTGTGTTAAAATACTGTATTTTTTGATGCACCTAGCTCTTGGGAGGAAAACAAGAAAAAAAGAATCTGCCTCTGCCTCCTAGCTATTTGCCTCCTTGCAGCAAAGAACAAACAGCATGGTCAGCTTCACACAACCTAATTTAGCACAAGCAGCTGATTGGTGGTTGGATCAGCCTCCTGGAATATTGCTTATCAGCTATTTCAGGCTGCACGGATCGCCACTGCTGCCCATCACCGCTGTCCATCGCCGTCTCTGCGTGCCCCATTTTCAGCCTTTGTGAGCTCCATTTTTTTGCCTTCGCATGTCCTGTTTTTGGCCCATTCTGGGCAGCCGGGATCGCCATTGCTACAGCCTGGAATGGGCAAAAATGGAGTGTGCGGAGGCCAAAAACGGGGCAGGTAGAGATGGCAGATCCAGCTGCCGATGCTCAATCTGGCTGTGCTGAAGCTGACCAGGCTGTTTGCTATTTTCTGCAAAGAGGCAAATTGATGGGAGGCAGAGGCCAAAGGGTGGGAGCTTGTGAGTGGCTGGATGGCAGCAACATTTGCTGTATAAAATGCACAGACATTTCCACCCACTGTTGGGTGATTGCGAGGGGAAGTGCGTCTTACACCAAAAAATACGGTAATGCTAATATAGAAACTTTAGAAAACCTGTGTCTTTAATTGGAGATTAAGAAAGCAGGAAACTTCATGCTGTGGCAGTGTCTGCCATTTCTGTCTTAACTTTGCTAAAAATCTGTTCAGTGAGTCAGAACTACGGTACAAATACAATTATAACATTTTATGGCTGTTTATCAGAAGAGAAAGGAAAGGGTGTAATATTCACATTTCTGCTGAGAATTCCAGAGAAAATTAGTCTTTCTTTCCTGAGGTGATAAAAATGAAATATTAAAACAGTTTTAAATAAAGTGATTAGACAAAAGGACTCTTATGGGAAGCAACTTGGAAAGTTTTCAAAAATTCGCAGTACTTCAGGGAAAGTATTTAAGATTCCTGCTTTTACACTAAGTGCTCATGAAAAAATGCTACTGTCTTTGAAACAATTGCATTTTTATTGCATCCTTCCAAATTTTCATAATGGTATGTATGGTTCATTATTTTACTCTATGGTTATTATTTGGATCTTTGGTCAGTGTTCATACTTATAAGGATTTGAAGCTCATAGTTTCAGCAACTTAGTTGTACCAAAACAGCCACATAAACAAATGTTTCACATTGAAATCTTGATTGAATAAGTGGCTATCAGTTATCTGGATACATTGTATTATATACATTGATAAAAAAGCCAGGATTCCTCTCCTGTTTCTCCATTCTAGTTTGGGGCATTGCATGCCTCAAAATATAACTTACCTTCTGTATCACTCAGATATGGCAAAACCCTAAATCTACTGGCAAAAAAATAGTGAAAAATGGCAAACCATAGATAGTATATAGATTGCCCAAAGTTTTGGTAGGAACATTGAATGGACAATATTGAACATGAAAAAATTGACACAGTGTCTTTCTGTTTTGTGTTTTGCTTGCAGGTCGGGCAAGGTTACCCACATGATCCTCCCAAAGTCAAGTGTGAGACTATGGTGTATCACCCAAATATAGATTTAGAAGGCAATGTTTGCCTAAATATCCTCAGGTACAAAACATATTCTGATGTTCTTATATATTCTCTTTTCATTATTATATATAATATTTTCCTATTTGCAGGATTAGAGGAAGTTTAAGAACAAACATTGCAGAAATAACAAACAACTTATAAAATATTTTTATATAATATAATAATAGTATAATGCTTTTTGAGGCAAAGTGTATTCACTGACTGATGAAATGCATTTACTGAATAAAGCATGGTTCACAGATTGTAGGAAACAAGGGGTGGGGTGGGCAAATCTTTGCCTGTAGATTCTGTGGCTCTCAGAGTTGCCTTTGACCATTTGCTGAAAATTGGTGGCACAGTTTCTTCATCATCTCAAGGCAAATGCATAAAATTTACTGCAAGTTCTACAATTTATCACAATTAATTAATCCTTTCAAACAAACAAACAAAAAAAATTAGCATCACTCACTTTGCATCATTGCCCATTCATTGTAGCCCTTGGCTTTCACACAAAATGTTACGTATGATCTCCAGATTTCAACAGTTGTTGACTTCTGTGCTAAACTATGTTGATTGGATTCATGTAACAGGGAAACCCAAAGACATTGCATTATAATTTTGTGTTTATGAATCTAGTTACACTAAGGAGTGTGGAAGAGGGCTTGCAAAAGTCATGCCAAACCTTATGCCCCCAGGATGTATTGAACTGGCACTGCCCTCAGCTGCAGCCAGCATAGATTAGGGAAGGCAGTTTTCCATTCTAGTGGGTGTATTTCTAAATACTGCTCATTTTTTAAAAAGTATTTGGAATATTAAAAATATTTGTTTTTTTTTAAAATCTTGTTTTGCCATAGTAATTAAAAGGGTAACAAACAAAAAAACCTTTTGGAAGCTTGACAAAAAATTTACTCTTGGGATATTGTCACTTTTTAATTACAATTTATGTAATTAGATACTGCCTTCTGTTTCAAAGGTCTAAGAACTGTTGACTTCATTTTTTAAGGATTTGGGATATTGAGGATATTTCGATTTGGATCACTCTTCATACAATTTTATTTTATTTTAACAATGTGAATTTAAATCAATATTATTTTGTTATTTTTCATTTGGGTAAACTTTCCTGCGCTCATTTTTCATTATCTTTCTGGCCGACAGAGAGGACTGGAAGCCTGTACTAACAATAAACTCTATAATTTATGGCCTGCAGTATCTTTTCTTGGTAAGTATATGTGGAAAGGAGGTGTGAAACAGTGATACTAAGACTAGAGCACTATTTTCCTGCTCGATCTGGGCAGGAAGAATTAATGTAAGATTGAGGAGAAGAAATGATACAATAAGCAAAGCGTGTTGTGCTCCTCAAGATCTGTAGTGTTCTAGGTTAGGTGGATTGTGAATGAAATAAAAGCAAGTTTGTATCATTACATTTTGGGAAGATTATCTGATGTACTGTCTACCAGTTGGAAGGGGAATTTCCCCATACACAAGATTATACTTGATAATAACTGCAAAATAAAACGGTTGGAAGACCGTTTATAGGGTGTGGCTAATATGAGAACGTTTGCACTCAAGTAGAGAGCATTACATCAAGTTTTTAGCTTTCTAATAGTTTTTTTCTGAATAAATCTGACTACTCAAAATTAAAGCATTTGTTTCCAAAAAGATGGAACTTTTCTACACTATCCAAAAGTGTGATCTCAAAACCCTTTTATCTTGCTCCTCCTGTTTTTCAGTATAGTGTCTTTGAATACTGTTTATATACTGTTAACTAAAATGTTATCTTCACAGAACGTTACATCAGTGCATTTTTTTTGTGGAATAAATTAGAAACGTAAAAAATATATGGCCCTCTGAATTTCCAAAATGGCCTCAGACATTTGACAATTCAGAAAGTTCCACTTAGTGAAATTTTTAATCAAGATATTAATTCTTTATGACATAAGTAAATATTCATGTGATTGTGGGATACCCTTGAAGTGGGATGGTAGGGCTACACTCCCAAAAATTATTTAAGCAGAGTTTAATTTAAATTATTACATCAAATATAATATTTATTAGGTTAAATATAATATCTAGTTTTGTCATTTCAATTTGAGAAATACAATTTGGAATGTTTAGAACAGATTTAGATTTAAATACCTTTGGCCTAAATATGTATGGCTTATATGTAAAGGGCACTCCATAACCTATCATGTAACAAATGCTTAACAGCCTGTTGTATTAATAACATATTGTCTTTTTTCATCTACAAAAATTAGTTCAATCATTTTAAAGAAGATGGATGAATTGTCTGTTTGTGGCATATCTATAGAGCCTTGAAGTATAATTAAAATTAAGTTATTATAAAGTGGGAAGTAGTATACAGATGTTTTTTCCACAAAAATAAGCAATTCACATATATTTTTAAATGTATTTAAATAGAATTTTTGACAGCCTGACTTGCACAAATTATGTGAAGTAGTACAAAAATTTCTCTGGGTTTTTAACTTCCTAGTTTATTGGCAAAAAGAGATCATTTTCAAAAAAGCAGTTCCATTCTATAACAATAATAACTTTCATATATTGGGTTCTGGTTCATCTTAACAGTTTTGATTGATTTGTATTAAGATATATGAGAATGACCTTGGGAGATCAGATGAAGAGAAGCTACCTAGGGAATGACCAGATATGAGAAACCATAAGCCACATCTGCTTATAGAGGGCAGAGCAAGACCTCTATAGGAGGGATTCTCCTTAAATTATCAGTCTGTAAAAGTGATAGCAAGAAAATTATACTTTTGAAACTTGTAAGATTATTTTAATGTAGTTTTATAATAAAGTAGAATTAGCTTATCTGGTGATACTTTCTGTTTGATCTACCCAGTAAGGCTGACATTAATTTTGCTAATCTCAATGTGGAATTCTCTTGCCCTCACTTTTATAGCCCAATAATTTAGGAAATAAACTTCATCTTTTCTCATATGGGAAAAAGTTAGGGGCTCTTAAGAGAACATTGGTATATAAAATGTGAAACTCATCTATTGAGAATCAAGTTAGGAAGGGTCTGTTCTTTTGGAGCACTGCTTATGCTAGTTGGCAAATACTAGCTTATGCTAGGACAAAATTATAGTGGGTGAAAACTGATTTTTTTAAAACAGATAGTTAAATAATCAAATGGGAGTAAGATGCTATTGCATATTTTTGCAGCCTGATTAAAATAGACTTCTTGTACATGAAAGTCTTTAACCACAAACCCTGGTATTTAATGGTGTTTTCTTCCCTCTCTAGGAGCCAAACCCTGAAGACCCCTTGAACAAAGAGGCTGCTGAAGTACTCCAGAACAACAGACGCCTGTTTGAGCAGAATGTCCAGCGCTCGATGCGGGGTGGATATATTGGTTCCACCTACTTTGAGCGCTGCCTCAAATAAAACTGACTGGCTCCGGGCACAAACTTGCTCCCCCTCCCCTCCCCTCATCTCCCTTCTAGCTCTTTTAAGGGACTCGGCCAACACCGCTGCCTTCAAGGGGGCACAGGAGTCAGAAATGGCAGGGGGCCCTTTCCATCTTCTTTTTTCTCCCCTTTCCCCCTCCCATCTGCTCACCCTACTGCCCCCTGCCAGCCTGGAGCTTCAGCAGCCACTGCCTCACCAGATCCTTGTACCTCCCTCACTGCTCTCTCTCTGCTGCTGTGGGGTGAGGGCTGAGGTTACTGCTGCTTCTTTGTCTCACTCCTTGTGTTGGGGTAGCCACCTGTTTCTGACTGTGTGGGACCCAATCAGTCTTTCTGGGAGCTGTGGTTTTGCTGCTAAGAACAGAAGGCTCCCTATGTGCTCTGGCATTCCTTCCTGCAAGTGCAGTGTTATTCAGCTGCGAGATCTGCAGGCCACTTTCCTCTCCTGCTGGGCACCATGGCTTCTGACCGTAACTATTTATTAAATGGGGGAGGCTCTTGAGGACTGGTGGAAGGCTGGAGCAGGGTGCTCAGCTGCCTTCACTCCGCCCCAGGTATTGTGGCTCAAGGGGGAGGGGCTTGGCCAGGCCTGGGATATTTCTTCTAGGATCAACTCACTTGGATGTTTTGTTCTTAAGGAAAAGCTAATAAAGCCACCACCTTCACCATCAAACCCACCAATGCTAATAGTAGTAGTAATAAAAGTAACAGGGACACTGCTGATCCTATTGTTGTCAACCAGGGCCTGCCCAGCAATGAACTCTACTCTGCCTCTCCAGTGACTCCTGCAAGTCCCTGGCCAACATAAAGCCACTGTAATTCTAGTGTGTCGGGTTATTAAAGGGGAATGTTAGCACATTCAATTTGCCCCCTTGCCTTTCATTTTCTGCTTCCTTCTTCCCTGGTTGGTGCAAGGGTGGAGTGGGCAGAGGAAAGTAATATATATTGGTTTGAACAGTGGTCATAGTGACGTTCTGGGCCATCCAGAGAAACAGATGGAAGAAACTGGAGGTGAGTGCTGAAGAAGTGGTGGGAACATTTTGACAATGTTGACTTTGACATACTAGTTAGACACATTTTCCCCATAAATAGAAGTATAGTTGCCACAATTGATACAGAATACTATGCCTGCATATCCGGACATCTCAGTGTAGTTGTTAGAGCAGAATTGATTTTATGACTGTTCTATGATGTAGGATCTAACAAAGATTCTGACCTTCCACCATAATGAATTCTGCTTTGCTGATAAAATCCATTTCACAAACTGCCTCTAGAAAATTGCATTTTCCTACCAATTAGTGATACTACCAATTCTTTCTAAGCATATGCATCTAGTGTAGCTTTGCTGTGAGCTTAACCTGATCTGGGTCTATGCTACAATTGATGTGAGAGATTGCACTTTTTACTAGAAGATATCAGGAGATAAACTGATAGGAGATTTTACACAAAACTAAATGTATCATAGCCTTCCTTGAGCTCCCACATTCAGAAAGGAAAGTCATCGGTACACTCTATACAAACATATATTCAGTGCCTGTGTATACAATGAAGAAAGAAGGTCGTAAGAAAATTTACTAATAAAAGTTCTATTTAGCAGCCTTGTACATCTTAACATTTCCCAGTTCCCTCCTGCTTACATTTTGAGAATTGTTCTTTAAAAATGTTAACAATATGCTAATGAAAATTTCTAGTGTAGAGATAGTCCTCAACTAACACTTTAGTGACTGTCAAAGTTACAATGGCACTAAAAAAGTGACATGACTTTTTCACACCATTGTAGCATCCCCATGGTCACATGATCCAAATTCATATGCTTGGTAACTGGTTCATATGACTTGCAATGTCCTGGGGTCATGTGATCCCCTTTTGTGACTTCCTGACAAGTGAAATAAATAGATTCACTAAGCACCCTTGCTACTAACTTAACTACAGCGATTAACTGTCAAGAAAGGTCATAAAATGTGGCAAAACTCACAACAAATGTCTTTAACAACAGAAATTTTGGACTCAATTGTTGAAAATTAAGGACTATTTGTGCTATTTATGTAATAAAATACATGGTGCCTTGCAGCATCTGGATTGGGTGAATTTTCCAACTGCATGCTATGTCATCAAATAATTGTTTTCAGAACCGCATATTTTAGAAAATGTTGGGTCTTTTCTCGACTTTCCTTTCAATACAGGCTGCTGTTTCTAAAACTGTTCAAATGAAAAAGTAGAATATGTTCCCATTTTCATGGTGTTGTACTAGTAGCTGAATGAAACACAGACAATCCTGAGTGTGTCTATGAAGTTTCTGCACTTCTGTTGTGAAGGTGTGGGCAGCGGATCTGAACATTTAAGTCTATAACCTGTCCTACATGAAACACTACAAATTCTTTTCAACTAATTTATTAGTGTGATCAACTGGAAATAGTTAATGATTCAGGATTGCAGAAAAGCAAAGTCTTTTCTAAGCCTATAAAAATAATTTATAGACTGAAACATGCCTATTTAGCCCTGAAGTGTCTTGGTAGCCACTAGGCCATGACCATAATAAAGCACTAGTGCTTAATTGCTGGTGGTAAAACAGAATTGCTACTTTTCTGTCTTTCCCACCCTTTCCCTCTTTCAATTGTCAATTTTATCACCTCAGTTTGTGATAGTATAAGGCATGTGTCTTAATGACACATACTAGGAGCCAAGAAGACAATAGGGAAGGTCAGCTGTCATCACCACCTTGCTTCAAGATTCTCAGAAGCTTCTGTTTAGCTCTTACATCATTCTTTGGGCATTTTGTACTAACAATCATACAAAACACTCAATTGTCCCCTCTTCATGCTGCCTAATGAGATCATTCTGCTTATGTGCATCATGAATCCTTGGCTTGGACCAACTGTTATTTAATCATACTGGGCCTCTGCATTTATGAATGTGTATGCTTAAGCATATTCCTGGCCTGAGTGACTGATGCAGTTGAGATTTCATTTCCCACCATCTCTAGCCAGCACAGCACAGCTGCCAATATAGCTAACTGGAAGAGTTGTAGTCTGGCTTCTTTTAAAAAAAATTGACAGTGGCAAGGATGGAGCCAGGAATGTTATCTATCCAAACCATATTGCACTATCACAGGGTATTTTTAATGCAATGTTTTTTAAGAAACGTAATCTTAAAAGAGCTCAAAGGAAATAAGTCCTGAATACAAAGTGGAGATAGTTACTTTCCTTCTTTATTCCTCCAAAATAAAGAATATGGCGTGCTTTTTGGCTATGAGCAGATCTGCAATGTACAGTAAATGATAAATGTTCCACTGATCACTTTGTTTTCTGGCCAAGTGAGGGAATGACTGAAAAGCAATATTCTTGTCCTTTTTGCATAGTTAACAAATTTCAGCCCAAAGAAGTGATGTCATGGACAAATCCATGTAATATTGACAGCCATCATGGAGGTGGAATACCCTTTTAAAAAATTCAGAATTTGTTTTCAAGTACAAAGTACATTCAAGCCTGCTTACCTTTTGCTTACCTTTTTTTGAACTCACAGCCAGCTTATGTGTTATCATCTAATACATTTTTATATAGTTAACTATCATATGAAATGAAATTTCTAGCTGGTTAAAATGATGGTTTCATATCATTTTACCTCACTGTGATTTGTGGAACAAAATATCAAAACTTGGCCAAGCTCTCTGCAGACTCAGCCAATTTTATGTATTGAAGTCTTAATAAATATATTGTGGCAAAAATATTTGTGTCAGAAAAATCAACGTCATATAAGTATGCAAAAGTGACAGACAGGAACAACTTTGTAAGCAATTGGAGCAAAAAAAGATGTGCAGCAGAGTGCATAGAAAAATTTCCATACAGAAGAAGTGGTAGGTTCATTTGCAAACAGTAGTAATCTAGTCCAGTCTGTGGCTAGGCACTGGCAATGTAGTTTGAAAAAGTGTTAACATTTGTTTTTATTCTAGGCTCCTCTCCTTATCTGCTGAATTTGGAGATGTTAAATCTCCAAACTACAAAAGTTGAAGACTAATACCAGTAACATGAAGATGCAAAGAAGAAGAATGAATTGCCATCTTCAAACTTTCAAAATATTTTTGGTGTCATTTTTAAAAAAAATCGTCTTCAACATGTAAGAGTTTGGCTTTCCTTCAACCATAGAAACAATTTTAAACCAATCATTTCACCCAATCTATTTCTCAAGCTGGCAGTTGAGGGGGGGGGGACTAATTTTGAAAGAAAAGTTATAATACTGAACTACTATTTTATGGTCCAGTATTTTGATGTCATAAGCCATACTAAGATATCAACAAAATTGCATATTAGCCTGTCAGAAAAAGCTATTCAGTTTTTAAAAATTCAAAATAAGCTTGCTGATTTGCGATTTTATTTTTATTGCTGTTATTAAAGCTGAGTGACAGTTTCATTTAAATTCCTATATCTCCATGTACTACAATTCGTACATTTCCAAATCCCATTCCTCTGAAAAGTCTGGATCCAGTTAGATTTGTACCACATACTACATTCTTTAAATCAGAGTTTACATAAGCTTTTACTGAACGTATGGTCGATGTGAATAACAATGGGACAAATACCAAGGCTTCTATACCCTCCTTCAGAAAGCGGTTCATTGATGGTAGCACCAATTTTTTATTATTTTTGGAAGTGCCTTCAAGTCGGCAGCTGCCTGGAGAAGTCCTTACAGTTTTCTTGGCAGGATTTCAGAAATTGTATGTTGCTGCCTTCTTCCTAGAAGATATCCAAACTGGCTAATACCCAACTTTTCTTTTCTAGCATAAATGCTGTCCTTGATTGCTCAGCATCCATCGGAGAGGAGACTCTACTGACCAAAAATGATGATGATTAAAAGTAGCGTTTCCTCTCCATCTTTCGGTGTTTTTTTTTAACACGGCTCACTTTCGCCTCTAGTGGACAGTTTGGAATAGGAACTATGGAAACCATGGGGCGGGAATGGGGCTAGAGTCCTCTCTGTACTTTTGAAAGATCTCTAATATAGTTGGCACCTAAAATTTCCAGGAAGTACCAACAAGGGCAGACAAGACTTTAATCTATCGTTTCTTTCCCTTCCTTCTGTCTCTATATGTAATTTCCGGTAGCGCCCCCGCCTCCTATTCTCTGCGCAAATCAGGGAGGCCTCCGGCTTTTTCTAAGCCGCGTGATCATGACGCTAAAATGCCACTCCCGTGACGTCAGTAGGCTGAGGCGGAAGAAGAGCGTAGAGGAAATATCGAGGTGAAGCGACAGTGTTAGGCGGCTGCTCGGTAAATTGTTGGGGTGGGGGTGAATTTCGGAGTAAGGTCTCGGAAGCTTTTTTTTGGGGGGGGGGGAACAATCCTTTTCTGCCTTTCCTCCTCTTTTCCACCGTATTCCCCATTGTCGTTAAAATTATATATATTTAAAACTGTGTTTGCGCTTTCCCCCTTGCTAGTGCTCCCTGCCGCCCACCATCGCCGCCCTATGATTTAGGCATAGACCTGCGTCACCTGGGCGACTTTGTCTCTTTGCTTTATATTGCTTGTCCTATTTTTGCCGTGCTATAAAGTGAGCTCATCTAGTCTGTCCTTCAGCTATGACGGACTATCTCCTCCTACCATCACCATGAAGTGATGAAGAAGGGTGGGTGGGAGAACACATCCGGAGTATTGGGTGGTTATGGGAAGTTAACAGATTAGCAGTAACAGTTGGAAGGGATCTTGGAAGTTGTCTAATCCAACCCTTTGCTCGCGTAGGAGACCTGTATTGTAAAGGTTCCCATTTGTTTGTTGTATTAGACGTTTTTAATGACTGGGATTTGATTGGAAGGACATGGTGATTCAGTGGTTAATAACTGAGTTTGTCAGTTCGGTGGTTCGAATCCCTAGTGCCGCATAATGGGATGAGCTCCCGTTGCTTGTTCTGGCTTCTGCCAACCTAGAAGTTCGAAAGCATGTAAAAATGCAAATAGAAAATAGGAGCCATATTTGGTGGGAAGGTAATAGCATTCCTTGTGCCTTCGGCATTTCCGGCCACATGACTACAGAGACGTCTTTGGACAGTGCTGGCTCTTCAGCTTTGAAATGGTGGTTAGCACCACCCCCTAGAGTCAGGAACGACTCTACATATGTGCGAGGGGAACCTTTACATTTACCCTTTATTTGATTGGAATGATGTATTGAATACATATGCTAACTGTTGGGTAAGGAAGGATGCTTTTTAATATTCTGATAGTTTGTTATAATTTATTACATTTATATGCCACTCAGCCCCTATTGTCTCTGAAAAATAAACCCGCAGCCTGTTAAAAGTAAAGTAACATGGCTTAATATTTGTACTCAAAAGCTTCTTAGCCAAGCAGGTTCATTGTGACTTATGTTTAAATTTGTTTTGGCCCAAGGTGAAATTGATTTGGTTTGATTCTCTTTATAATTATTTGCTTTGTCGAGGGTGGATTAGCTGATGCTTATCCTATTGATGTGTAAATGATGGTATTAGCTTTTTTAAAAATTAAAACAGTTTCTGAAGACAACTGAAAGATGTGAGGCTTTCCAGACTGTCTGGTTAGCAAGTCACAATCTTTAGTAATTATTATTAGTATGGCTTGTACAGTAACTTATTTGGGTGAATATTCTGTATGCCAAAGATGTAGGTAGCTGAAAGTTGCTTAACAACTCTCACCTATCTTTTCTAGCTCACCTAATGATGACTGATGCTGGGTGTTGTATTTCAGCCATGAGGTCCCCATCCCCCTCATGAGGGTTATAACTCTTATGAGTCCAATACACATAGACCATTACTTATATAGAAACATGATAGATTATAGGAAGTTTAGTCCTTGCCCAACCTGAATATAGATGAGTGGACTTTACCGGCAAGAATTCCTATCTAACATATCCATACCTTTGAAGGGTGGGATTGCATTTTCATTTTTTGTTTGTAACTAAACAAGCTCTGCCCCATTTTTGATCTCTCTGACAGAAGTAACAGTAAGTATTGAGATTAGGTTTTGGAATTGGCACCAATATGGATTAGTGACCCATTGCCATAGAGGGATCTTCCTTCAAAAGTGTAGGTTTTTCTCTAAATAACAGTCCATTTCAAAATATAACTGGGTAAGTCTGGTTGAATTAGCCAGGAACTTAAGCTGGACTTGTCATTTCATTCTTCTTCCTACTTTCTTACAATATAAATGATTTCTCTTAATTTGGATCATTTTTATTTGCTCAGTTTGCTTGTTTACCAAGCAGCAAACTACAGAGGAGAAAGATACAGAGGCTCTATAGAGGATAATGAGTTATGAATAGTAAACAGATATTGAAGAGTGCATAATGTAGAGCAGTGATTCTCAACCTGTGGACTGTAGACCCTCAGGGGGAGGGTGCAAATATCATCAGGGGGTTGACGAAATGTTATGATTTAAATCTTGAGTTGTCTTAGGGGTCCATGACCACAAAAGGTATGTAAAGGTGAAGAAAAGATTGAGAACAACTGGTGTAAATTGTAATAAAATACAATTTAATATAATTCATACAGTATAAAATACAATGTAATACAATACAATATAACACAAAGTTTTAAAGAGTAAACAGAGGGTTTTTTGTTCTTCTGTAGACTTTTTGATACATAGTTAGGAAAATAAGAAAAGTTGATATAAAAACTGTAGTAAAAAACCTCTGGCTTAAGCTTGCTGCCAAATAATAGAAGTAACACATAACACATACAGAGAAAATGGTTTGTCTCCAGAACAGTGAATGTTTTCTGTCTTCATTCTCTAGGTCTAGGTTGTTCTCACTCTGAAATGTAATGTACTTATCATGAAACTTTGAATGTAATTTTAGTGATCTGATTGGGGATTTCTTTGGTCTTTGACTATGTATTTTAATAAATTAGAGTTTCTTGATGTATTGGCCAAACCTTGTAGTTTTTATACAAGGATACTTTGCTCCTATGTGTTTTATATTTCTGCATTGTTCTTTTTCCCAACAGTGTAGGCTGACTCATTTTCTGTCAGGATGGATCTGTTGTTTGGGCGCCGGAAGACCCCAGAGGAGATGCTACGGCAAAATCAACGAGCTCTGAATCGTGCCATGCGAGAATTAGACCGTGAGCGGCAGAAACTGGAGACCCAGGAGAAAAAGATCATTGCTGACATCAAGAAAATGGCCAAGCAAGGGCAGATGGTAAGTTTGGAAAGAGAGGACAAATATGGTTTTTGAATACCACCAGAAGAAAATCTATGTATCTGCTTTCTAACCTGGTTCTCCTCATCTTAGGATGCTGTGAAAATCATGGCTAAAGATCTGGTGCGAACAAGGCGCTATGTCAAGAAATTCATCCTGATGAGGGCTAATATCCAGGCTGTGTCCCTTAAGATACAGACACTCAAATCAAACAACTCCATGGCTCAGGCAATGAAAGGTGTAACCAAAGCCATGGCTACCATGAACAGACAGGTGGGTGAGCTGTAGAAGTATTTTTGAACTGCTCCTTTTGAGTCCATATCTTACTCACTGACCAAGCATCTGGTTGCATTCAGAAGGTCGCACTTTCAAATTGATTTGCCTAAACTTCTGAACAGCCAATGCCAGTTAGATTAAGCATCTGGAACTAGGAAGCCAAATAATTTGACTTCACAAAAAACAGCTTTCTAAAAACTATTTCTTTTAATAGTATGTGTGGGATGTTGAATATATATTACATGTAGTGCTTGTTTAGCGACTGCTTTGTTTTAGTGATCATTTGCAGTTAAGACCAATGAAGAAGTAATTTTGCAGTCCTCTCATTTATGACTTTTGCAGGTATATAAAGCACAGGAAAATGAATATGAGATCATAAATATAGTGGTAGTTTTATTATTGATCACTTCATTTAACCACTGAGTTGTTGGCAACCAGTTGTGGTTGCTAAATGAGGACTACTTGCAAAATCTGTTTGTTTATCAGAAAGGGAATGAAATTGGAATTGCTAAATGTGAGGAACTAGACAATGGTGATATCTTATCAGTGGCTAGGCAAAAAATGTGGTACAGAAGCATTTTTTAAATTACCTAATGCAAAGAATGTGCCACTTAAGGTATCATAACAGTTTGCAGATACTTTTTTTCAGTTCAGCAGCTGAAGTGTTTTTCCAACAGGATTCTCTAGATTGGGTGCAATCTGTCACTATCACTTGGTCAATTAATACTTAAAAAAAAAGAACATTATATTTTTAGTAACAGTAATCTGCTACTCTAAGTGATGTTACTCTACTTACTGTTGCTCATCATCCCCTGATCATCTCCAGAATATTTTTCTATAATGTGGTCTACCTGCAGGTGACCTTGAAGAGCATCTGGAAGCTTTATTTGGTGCAGATAGCAGCTCTGTGTGGACTGTTATGTGGGTGTCTTAAAATGGCTTATGGAACAGAATATAATCTTCTGGGTGCAATTTAGGGTGCCATTTTTGACCTTTAAATGCCTACATTGGCACATGATCAGGTTATTTTAGGAAATGTCTTTTCTATCCATCCCATCAAGTCCAGCAGAAGAGGTATGCTCTGCATCTCACCAGCTAAAGAGTTCTATCTGATGGGATTCAGGAGAAATACATTTTCTGCTTCAGATTTTTCCCTCTGTAACATCATTTCCCATGTGGTGAGATTAGCCCCATCACTGTTAATTCCACAAAAGGCTTTTATGTTTTTATGTTTTATTTTTGTCACTTATGTCTGGTTTTTTAAAATTGCAATATTGTTTTAACTTTTTTGTTTGTAAGCCTCCTACAATCACTTTTTGTGACATTGGCAATGATATAAATATACTAAATAAATAAAATATTCCCTTCCATTCCTTTTTGAAAGGTAAAAAGCAAGTGATGGTTTATTTCCTTTTCTAAGATTTTGTAACAGTGTTACTTCTTGCTTCATTTAGCTCAAGTTGCCTCAGATTCAGAAGATCATGATGGAGTTTGAAAAGCAGTCAGAGATCATGGAAATGAAGGAAGAGATGATGAATGATGCTATTGATGATGCGATGGGAGATGAAGAGGATGAGGAGGAAAGGTAATTAGCATTGGGGACAGGAAAGCTCATAAGGGTTGCATATTGAAGTGACAGTTTGGCATCTAAGTGGTACCAAGTGATACCCTGTTTCCCCCAAAATAACACCTCCCCAGATAATAAGCCAAATCGGGCTTTTGAGCACATGTGCTGAAATAAGCCCTCCCCTCCAAAATAAGCCCTCTCCAAAAATATTGGAACACAGCAGCAGCCATGAGGTGACTACACTTGCCGCCCCCAAAATAATAAGACCTCCCTGCAAATAAGGCCAAGTGCTTATTTTGGGGGTCAAAAGAAAATAAGATCACATCTTATTTTCAGGGAAACACGGTAGGTTTTTGACCTTCAAATCCCTCCCTAAAATCCAGAAATCTCTGCACAGTAAAGCCAAGCCTTTTAATTCAGCCTGAAGTTGAGATAAGAATTGAGATTCAGTTAAGGGAAGTGGTGGATTAGCCATGCAAACAAGTGCATTTTTTTCCCCATTCACAGTGATGCTGTTGTCTCCCAGGTGTTGGATGAGCTAGGTCTGACATTGACCGATGAGCTGTCAAGTAAGTATTTGCATGAAATGAACATTAGGAAAGAAGTACAGCAAGGGAAGAGGCACTTGATCCACTTTGTGATTCAGCAGCCTTAGAAAATGAATGAATGAATGAATGAATGAATAAATGAATAAATGAATAAATGAATAAATGAATAAATAAGAAAGAGGCAGTTCACGTGATTCTTGTAAATCCCAGATGGATAAAATTATCATTATTTATATCCAGTTGACTCTAGGTAGCTAAAAATATATTATCATAAAAATCCAATACACCTAAAACAAGATGGGATATGGTCGCTCTATACAGACAAACAAAAATAACAGAAAAAACATTAGTTCATAGTGTTCCAACACATAATTTAAAAACAGGCGTTTCAACAAACATTAAAAACATATAGTGGTAATGTTTCTAGTTAGACTGGGACTCTTAAACTTTGTGTACTGTAACTCCCTAATCATCCTGATACTACAACTTCGGAAATTTGCCCTAAGTAATGCAATTTTAACTGAAGTCAAATGGAAACTCTTGAGAAATGCAGTGGTCCCCTTTGGAATGAATGTCATTTCTTAATTGTAAAATTAATTGTAGAAAATGTGATCTTGGCTGCTTTATTCAAAAAAACCAGAATAAAATAGATTGCTATTTATGTTGAGAGAAGACACTGAAAGTACATAGAGGGGGATTTATTTTAAAATTTGACCGTATTCCCTTCCTTCCTCCAATTCAAATGATGGTGCTACGGGGTTCTGCCTTGGTCTATGTATGCACAGTCCAGTCCTGTCTTATAGCCTCTGGATTTTCCACCATATTTCCTTGGATTAAACAGCTTGTCCAGACAGAGCAGGTTTTAGGGTATCTCTAATATGTTCAAAAGTCATTAGTAAAGTGCATTGCCCCTCCCTCCCCCCAATCTGTTCAGAACAGCAAGAAGCAGTTCTGCTCGAAGGTTTTCAAACTTTATTTTAATCTATTTGGGAGGAGAGCAAGACGTGTGACTGTGAGAGAACCTCTTGGTTCAGGAAAGTGCATATACAGCATTAAACAAAATTTTACAAATGTCTTCTTGGCCATGGCTTCTACCTGCTCCTTGAATTGGAGATGTGGATCCAAGAGGACACCCTGATTTCTCACTATTTCTGTTTGAGGTACTGCAATCTCATCCAAACCCAAAGCTGGAAAAAACATTGTATCCGGGAAGCCTTAAAATCCAAAGTGACTCAGTCTTACTTGGGTTAAGCTGAAGCCTGTTCTTCCCCATCTGGATCCTCAATACTCTCTTGACACTGAGGCAGGACCTCCCCCAGGATCTCTTGGTTGTCCAGGAATGGACATGTAAAGCTGGGTATCATTAGCATACTGACGACACCTTACCCAGTGCTGCTGAATTACTTCATCCAGCACTTTGTTTAGTTAAAAAAAGAATAGGGAGAGTGTTAAGGTAGACTTTTCCCCACCCATCAATTCTATCTGGAACTGCCGTCTGGAAGGACAGTCAGCACACCATGCCTCTGCTCTCAACCCTTAGCCCCAAAACCAATAATCAATATCAAAGGTTGCTGAGAGATATGGGGCGCAAAGATGTACCATCTTCATCCTGCTTTTGCCAGAGATCATCCGTAAGTGTGATTAATGCTGTGGTTAATGATATGATACGTGAAACTTTGCCCACAATTAACCTAACCGTGATAAGTATGATGCATGAATCCCATATCTACAATAATCCTGATGCCACAGTCTTGGGCAGAGAGAACTGGGAGGGAGATTGATGGGTAACAGTGATATTGGGTTGTTGCGGACTTCATTCTCTTCCTTGCAGATTTGCCTTCCACGGGTGGTTCTTTGAGTGTGGCAGGAGGAAAGAAAGCTGAAGCCTCCGCAGCCCTCGCTGACGCAGATGCCGATTTGGAGGAGCGGTTAAAGAACCTACGGCGAGATTAGAAGAGCAGTGCCCAGCTCCCTTGCCCTCCCCTAGCATGGGTGCCCTCCAGACACTACTGGTGTTAGGATTGCAACTCTGCTGTGTCAGGGAGTCCTAGCTTTGCAAGCTTGTGTGGGGTTGACCGTGGGTGGCATAATTGGGGGAAAGAAGGGTTAAACCAAACCACGTGGTGCTTTTATATTCCCCTTTAATTTGAAAGGACTTTCAGCATCACTTGGCAAAAGTATAAGGTAAAATATTTTTTTCACACTACCATGAAAATGCTTCCATTTCCATGAGGCCGAATAGATTGGGATCTAAAGGAAGGGGGGGGGAGGGCAGGAGTGGGTGCCATTCCCTATTTAATACCCCATGTTCTTTTGGTGATAATGGCAAGGTGGAGGGGGGGGGGCGAAAAGGGAGAACAACAAGCTGTACTGTGGCTGATATCTCTGCCACTAAGAAGTGGCCAAGGACTTTATTATTCTTTTTCCCAGTAAAGCTTTATATAAAACCCTGTCCCTAGAGGCAGGCAAATACATAGGCAGGCTGGCCTCCACGTTCGATTTTTTGTCTCTTGTAATAAAGGTTGTAGTTTATACTAAGAGTTCCTCTGGCATCTGCTCTTGCCCCTGAAATGGAACAAACTGAAACTGTCCCCTGACAACTCTAGTCCTAAGACATTTGTCTCTCTTTGTTGTGCATCTGGGAACTTTTGGAGCAGGGCATGTTTTATGTGAGAAATGTAGGCAGATTTCCTTGGTTCTAAACATTTCCCTTTGAGTCTGGGAGTATATGAAGAGCATTGTAAGTGTCCTCTTATGCTCTACCTATGTTTGAAACTATGGACCCAGTTAGTGAGTTGTAGATAAAATATGCGGGTTAAAGCAAAAGGAAGACTCATACAGTTTAATTTTGAATAGAGAGCACTGAGGCAATACCTACTTATACAGTGCAAAATTAAGCTATGGAATTCCTTTCAGCAGGATGAAGTGATAGCTTTGACTTTCAATGCAAGGGAATTTATTTGTCCTCTCTAAATTTGGATGTTAAATCCAGCAATCCTGATAGCTGTGTGGTGACATCAAAGGCAGAAAAGGGCTGAAAGAGAGGAAGATTTCTCTTGAATCCAGTCAATGGCATGGCACAGGAAATTGAGTGTCTCCTGTGGAACCAGGTTGCTGGATGAGAAGCTATTTGGCTGATCTAGCATGAATGTATTTGCCTTACTAGAATCCAAAAGAGGGTGTACACAGCTGTGCCAGGGAATCTTTCAGATGGAATTGGGGAAGACCAGAAGATGAAGGGAATTTTGTGAGGCCTACCGAACATATGACATGTGTCCTGGGGTGTATGGACGATCTAGCTTCATTCTAGAACGCAACGAGGAGGAGGAATTTCTGAAATCTCTTCCATTTTTGTTCACCTGATATATCTATTGACTTTCCGCAAATGATCCAAGGAGGCTGATTTTCTTTTTCCTTGTCTTTATTTTTAATTACTATTTTTGGAGGAGGGATGCTTCTGATTCCCAGGATCCAAGGTGGAATGTCATCTGAGATCTGAATTGTTTGGAAACGCAGTGTCCAGGATGTCCCAGGGATGGTGGAAGTGGTGATTCTGAAGGATGCCCGATCATGGGATGGCTCCAGCAGGCTGTTTAATGTAAAGCTCTTCTGCGGATTTATTTTTCCTTGAGTGCTACTGCACAAAGCAAATATGGCAAAGGTGAGGGTTCCAAAAATCTGAGAACATTATGCCAAAATCAGAAGATTTCCAACTCAGTAATTTAACATGTCCGGTCAGAATAAAATACAGGGGCTTTATTGAAGTTGGGAACTCCTTCTGTAGTGCCTGCTGAGAATGGTGAATCAGTGCTGAGCTTACTGTTGGTTGAGCATTCTGGAGTCCCTATGGGAAAGGAAACATGGCTGTCTGGGAGTCCCAGTGATTTGGAGGCTGTAAATGTAATAGAAAATCATAGAGTAATGTCGGTGTATCCTCCCACTTCTGTGGGATATAATGTTTCTTCCCTTGGGCTAAGCCATAGCTTTCCTGGCAAATGGGTGGGGTGGAGTGCCAGCAAACAATTGGATTCACATTACAAACTAGGGTAAAATGGAGTATGGTGGCTTGTAATCAGTATATCAGTATAATCATTATATGGTGGGAACCCAACCATTGGTTTCCAGTGTTCCAAATTGGGTCGTCAAATAGTATATGTGGTTTATTTAGATATAACGTTATTTGAACACAGCAACTGTTTTGGGGGGCTCCTGTGTCAATATCTGAACTTGGATTAAGTATTGCTAATGTTTTCTCTTTCAGGAACCATATGTCTTTAATATACATTGTCTTGCATAAATCTACTTGATGAAGTTTTTGCCTCTCTTTTTATCTTCTTGTGTAGAAAATATGTGTGGAGTCAAGCAAATCTCCTGTGTTAACACCTTCCCACTAGTGCCAATACTATTTATCTTCAGAAACTCCCTAGTAACAGAGATTCTCATTCTTCCCACATTCCTGATATTCCTATCCATCTATGGCTTGTTTTCCTTGTTAAGCACCCTGATACCATGGAAGCTTGCATTTAAAAATGGAGTCAAGGGATAAAGTTTCATTGCAATAACTGCTATACTTCTACATGCCTTTTGTCTTTTAAATAAAGTGGAAAGTGAAATCCTTTCCTCCAAGATAATATAATTGCTGCACACTCCCTCTTTCTGACTAAGTTAATTCCCTATAGCCCAGCTATTCTGTATTGCAACTTGCCATATTCCCACTGAATGCTGCCACCAATCCTTTTACCCCTGAAGTCCAAACAGTATAGGGACACTCACCTAGGGACCATTTTTTAGATCCGGGTGAGCTATGCCCAGTGCCCGCAGGCAGGAATGATATGTCTCCAGCAGCTCCTTGCATGCCTCTTCTCCCTTTTCTTTAACACTGCAAAGGTAAAGAAGTGGTAAAGCAATGATAACAATACTACTGGTTTGTCTTACAATTGAACAACAGCACCGAAACCTGGAGATCTTGAAGCTCTCCCTGCAACTCTCAAGAGGTGTGATGCTCCTGCCACACCCACAGCAGGGGTAGTGACTTGGTAGCTTGATTACCCCAAGGCAGTCACAAGTGCCCACTTTGAAATAATAATGAAATCTTTTATTGCATCTTTCCAGATTTTCCCCAGTTTTATTCTTTTCCTATTATAGGTTTTGCTCAGTGACATAAGGATTATAGCCCTTGATATAAAGAATGTTCTCAATATGAAACTTAACTGATTTTTAATTGTTTTTTCCTTTCCTGAAGTACTTATTTCTTCTTTCAAAAAATAATAAATGCACCTGTCCAATGTCTCAGTATTTTTCACATTCTTCTGTAATGGGCGAATGGTTGTGTCCTGTAGTGGGAGGAATCACATTTAAACTGAAACAACTGAAAGGGGAGGATGGCTTATATTTCGGTTTTTAGGCTGGTAATGAGGTCCATTGCAGAAGAGAGGAATGTATATCGTGTATTTTCAACTTGAAGCTTTTGGACTGGTTCAGAGGTTCAGTCCATTCAAAAGAAGCGGAAAGCCTTTAGAACCCTTGGAATTTCTTCTGTGAAATGGGACTTGAAACCCATTCTGCAATACCAGAACTCAGATTGTATATAATTCTAGGTCAGGGAACATAATTTTTATATTTGTTGCAAGTTGTACTCTTGACAACAAGCTGGAGATACAAAGAGACACTTTAAAAAAAAAAGATGAGGCTGAGTCAAATGCTACTTTTCATTATTTAAATAACATTCTTGGAGTAGAAGTCCATCTTAAAAGATGCCAAGTTTGAAAAACACTGATCTAGAACACGTCTAGGATGTGAAGGCTGTCCTGGAGGATTCTGTGTTTTCCTATCCATTGCTGTTAAGAGCAGAGGGTGGACAATCTTTTAAGATAGTCCTCAGCATAACAATGGTAACTGAGCCTGGAATTATGGTTCAAAGTAGCTGCTGCCATTATGTGACTGCAATGATCATTTGACATTGTTTGTTGCGGTTGTTAAATGAATGCTGCAGTCATTAAGCAAATTTTATGGTGGTTAAGTGAATCAGTTTGCCCAATGGGTGGTGGGTTTTTTTTTAACTGCAAACTGGAAGTAAATGCCAAAAATAAGCAAAAACCCAAAAATTTCAATTGTGTGACCATAGGCATTGTAAACAACCATAAAGCCAGTTATCAAGTGCCAAAATTGTAATTATGGGACTCTGTGGGTGCACATGCGGCTATCAGTCATAAATAGCTTTTGGTGGGAGCATTATAACTTCAAATGGTCGCCAAGCAATGAGTCATAAGGACTATTTAGTTAACATAGAACAGTCTATCAGCTGTGAGAACTCAGACCAAGTGTGTTTGCTGGTTGCTTCATGGATCAGAGATTTCAGTAAATAGAGTAAGCTATGGTTAAATATGAACATAGACATTGTCTCCATGCTAGTAAAAACTTTAATTATTGGTTTTTGTGTAAAAGAGCAGAAGAGACTACAGTATTCATTCCCTGTCCTTATGCAACTTGAATATTTTAGAGGTAGATAATTAACAGGATTAGTTGGAGTGATTTCACTTTCTTTCATCTACTTCAAATGGTCCCATTTTCTTAATTTTACACATTCTCAGTTCATCAGGGCACAATTTCATTTACCTACTTTTGAAATCGATTCCTCTAACCCCGTGATTGCAAACATGGCATGGGTGCCACAGGTACCATGCATAGCCATATCTGCCAGCACGTGAGCTGCCAGCTCCAGCACACATGCACGCACCAGCCAGCTGATTTTCTGCCTTTCGGAAGGCTGGGGGAAGCCGTTCTCGCCCTCCCCAGGCTTCAGGAAAGCCTCTGGAGCCTGGGGAGGGCGAAAAATGGGCCGAAAGGACCTACTAGAAATTTGGAAATGATCCGAAAAATGTGCCCAACGGGCCAAACGGATGTTCAGAAGTGAACTTCTGGTTGGCTCTTTGGGCCTGTTTGCCTTTGCCTTTCCCAGGCTCTGGAGGCATTCCTGAAGCATGGGGTGGGCAAAAATGGCCTCCCCCGGACCACCGGCGGAAATACCAAGCTCAGCTTGGAGGCGTGTAGTGCTGCACGCGTTGGGGGGGGGAGGGTTATATGTTTGTGTGTGGGTTGTGTGTGCACTTTGCATTATGCTTGTACGCCTTCGCATTTTTGGCACCCAACAACCACAAAGGTGAACGGTCACTGCTGTAACCTGTTCCCCCCACCCAAGCACCATTTGAGCCATGTGTTAGACATAACCCAGCATACTCTTTTTTTCCCCAGAACTATTTTAATTTTTGAGGATGGGGAAGGGGAATGCAAATGGGAGTTGCAACAAGAAATTGTGCAGGTTGAACATTCCCGTTCAGGGTTCCAGCCAGCTGTATCCTTACGTGCATTCTATTTTTCCTCCCCTTTGATTTTCCTCCTTTACTTCACAACAGTGAGCCAGTGTTATTCAGTGGTCACTGAGAAAATTTAGATCAAGATGGGTGGTAGTCAAATTTAGTGGCAGGCAACTTAATTTTTAAAATGTATTTTTAAAATAAGTTTTTTAAATCGTTTGATTAACGATAAAAAGAGTTTTAAAATTATTCATCTGCGATATTATGTATAAACTATATATGATATAAAAGTGTAATTGTGAGGGAAAACACCTATAACAGATGAAATGGTGAAAAATAAATTCTATACCTACCTAGTTTGGAGGGGGGGGGAAATCAGGGGGAAAAGAAAAGGAAAGAGAAAAAAACTTTAAAGGGTTTGGCGATTTTGTGCTTTTGAAATGTTTTGGACTTTGAGTCCAAACTTCTGTTTTCTAAATGTTTGCCCAATATCAGCTTATTAGCCTGGTTTAAATTACCGGAGTAGAGGAACTTCTATATTCTGAAAACAAAAAAAGGAGGGTGGGTGGGCCATAACAAATAGCCGTCTTCTGTCTGCACGCAAAGTTTTTTGTGGTGATGGAAGCATTGAGCCACGTACTGTATTGTGCAGCAAAACTCTTGTGTTGCTTTTGGGAACTGGCTACATTCTTCCTTTCTGGCTCTGCAAAAGCGCCTCAGGCTTGATTCCAGTCCAACTGAGCCCTGCTATTTCTCTGCCTCTCCCTGGGCTTTGCATTCCTCGTGCCTGCCATTTTCCTGACTTAGCTATGGTTGGATGCATCTCAAATAAAAAGCCCCAGAGTGGCAGTTGGAACCTAGAATATCATTCTATTCCCAGCCATTTTAAAACAATGTGGAGATAGTTCAGATGTCTTCCTCCCAACGTCCTGCAGGTGTTGGACTGCCATTTCTCACATGTCCCATCAAAACAAAGTATGTAATTTATGGTATCTGTTGTGTAGGGGCAAGTGGGCAAATGGTTAAAGAGAAGCAGGCAGAAGCCAATGATGTTCACATGGGCTGGGCTCATGTGGGTTGTCAATCTTGGTTTGCTGAATAAATCACTTTTGGCTGGATTTCAGGCATAAACAACACTGAATAATTCACACAGTGGTTGGACTTGCATTGCATTTCATAACACCAAGCCCAAGATCTCATTCTGATTGAGTCCAGCTTACACAAGATGATCTACTCAGCTTGAATATTAAATTGTTTTATACCACAGAACTGTTATTCAGAACCTCTATATAAATAGTCAAATACCAGGAATACGCCTATGTTCCAATGCATATTTCCATTTTACAATATAACACCCTCCACCTCCCATTAGCACTGTACATAGTCTAATTCACATAACATGGCAAGACTGAAAATTTAGTTTGAATCCCTTGAACTCAGGCAATAGGGTTAACAGGTGTCTTTGGCTGGGATTAAACTACTTATTTTTATTTATGTAATATATAAAGCAGCTTTAATCTTAAAAAGACTGTGTTACAGAAAAGGCAGTTTCAAGATTTTAATGATGTAAAATCATCCAGAGTCACCTTGTGTGAATTGGGCAAACTTATAAGTGTATAAACAAACAAATAAATATGCAAACAACAGAATGCAGAAAAATAGAATAATCTGGAATGACATTGCAATATATTCTACACATTTGAGAGCTAGTTTGGTCCAGTGGTTAAGGCTCCAGACTAGGAAATGGAAGACAGTCCTAGTCCCGCTTTATGCATGAAAGTTGGTTGGGTGATTTTGAGCCAGTTATTCTTTCAGCATGTATCAGACTCAGGTGACAATCCGGTCAGTCAACTATTGGCTACCAATTGCTTCCAGAATGCCTGTTTCTGAGCCTTCTCTGGCCATTCTTTCTGGGGACCTTCCACAGGCATTCCCTGTTTTCTCGTTAGGTAGGCAGAATTTGAGATAAAGTCGGAGCCATACAGGACTTTCTAGCTAGTGCTTTGACTTGCGTTTGAAAACGAAATGGTAGCTAATGCTGTTCTTATAATGAGGCTGCTACAAGGTCATCCTTGTGATAAGGACATTCCATAATCACCCTAGATGCTGTACTTTATGGCAGTTGAATTTTCTGGGTAGATTTCAAAGGCACTTCAGGAAAAGCAAAAGTATAATTAATCCATACAAGAGATGACAAAGGTGTGTTTGAACATCTTTTCATTTCTTAAGATAAGGCCACAATGATGCACTAGTCAAATTGAGCAAAGATCTTCCTGGCTATGCTTTCACCTGCTTTTCCTGCAAGAGCCATGAAACCCTCAAACGTCAGGCACGGTTTCCATGGAGAAACACCACCCTGTGGAGAGCTAAGCATGCAAATCCAGAATTAGAAGTATTCTGAATAAATAGCCATTCTGTCTTGCATGGGTTGTCTCTGAGCTGGTTTTTCTTAATCCAGGCCCTAACAACCCCTTTTGAGTAATGTATGTGTTTTTGCCATCTTTTTGTTCTTTTGTCCTTATTTTATTGTCATGTATTTTTACTTTCTGAACACCCCTCTGCCCCAGAGTCACTGGAGTTGGCCACTGTAGAAATTTAATAAACATGAATAAATAACAATAACTGTTGGAAGAGACTTTGGAGGTCTTCATGTACAATCCCCTGTTCAAGGAGAGGCCACATACCATTTCTAATAAATAAACAAGCAAACATGCATTCTTTCCAAATTCCAGATGTGCACACATTTTCAAATAAACAAACAAGCAAACATGCATTCTTCCCAAATTCCAGATGTGCCCATTGGAAAAGCTTTGAATCCTGAGTTTGTGTGTGTAGCTCGTTTCTGATTGCCAATCTGAAATGTTTTCTTTTAATAAGGTGACGAGGTGTCACCATATGGTAGCAAGGAAACATTTAGGATAGTCCTCTTTCATATTTTCTACTTATTGTGCCTATTTTAAATAACACCCTGCAAACAATGTTCAGGATAATTCAAGAGCTTTGAAATATGGCTAGCCAAATTGAAATATTTATAGCTCAGGTTGACATGAATTTTATATAGGAGCCTCTGGCAGGGAAATGGTTCCTTGTGAGGACTGTAATAATAATAATAATAATAATTATTATTATTATTATTAATAATAATAATAATGATGATGATGATGAAAAAGATTTGGAGAAGATCACAAAGTATTAAGATCTGAAAATCAAATGGAAAGATCATGGTATATATAGGCTGTGATGGTCTCACTAGTTATTGGTGCCATGTCAAAAAAACTTGGTGGGCACTTCATTTAGAAAATCTAGGCATTGACAACATTTCTATCTTTAATTACAAAAGGCTACTCTCTTGATCCACACTTCGAATGCTACAACACTTCCAATGTTACAATATCCCAGGTTCTTGGAAAGAACTCATTATGAATGAAATATGACACCGTTTAAAGAAGTGGCAGCTGTGATTTTACAGGGTTGTGTATATAATAATAGATTTTATGTCTCTTTTGTTGATATACAATTTAAGGTGGTGAACGTACTCCTGCCTCTTATTTTTCCTGTAACAACAACCCTATGAAGTAGGTTGAGCTCAGATTGGCTAATGTTACCCAGCCAGTTTTTATGTTTAAGGGAGGCCTAGAACTTACAGTCTCTCAGCCAGTGTCTTAACCACTGTTCCAAACCGATTGTCTCAACTATTGCAAGATGGCTACGCATTCTGTTTTCTTGCTCCTTTTCTGCAAAGTAATCAGTTCAGGAAATGATTTTAGACCTCCCACGTCCCCTGTTGCAAGTCTCAGTAAATGAAGAAGATGGCCATGACACATGCCAGCTGGATCCCATGTTTGGTTTCTCCTATGGAGGTCTTTCTCAACTTGGTTATTTATTACATAATGGCCTTCTTCAGATTTCTCCCATCAGTGAGGCTAATACTGAGCTCCCAAAATTGTAGCCTGCACTTCTGGAGAGAGTCCAAAATGGGAGAAACTGCCTCATGCTCTTTATAAATCTAGGGAGAACAGATGCCTTGAAGGTTGATGGTGGTCCTTCATAGTCAGTCTTTGCATCCGAATCACAAGGTCCTGCCTTGAAAGCATTACAGGAAAAATTGCCTGAATTTGGCAAATGCCAAAATGCAAGAAGAAGGAAGACGAAAAGATTTCAAAGGGATTTTCACTCCATATTTCTCCCCCTAACTCTGAAGATCATAATGAATGGGGATTCCCATTTCTAAAAGCAGATGCTCTGTGCAATGTACAGCAGCCATGCTAACATACCAAATTAGTCGGACAGGAAGCTTCATTAGTTCAACTGTAAAACATCCCACAGAGGGTTCTCACAAGCTTTCAGCGCATGCTTGTTGCTTTAAATTGGGCCAGTTACCAGGGCAACGCAGCAGGAGAGCCCAAATGTGGGTCAGGAATACGCTGATGGCAATGGATTAGACTGGCTGGGCAGGGGCCATGTAGAAGGAGGAGCTGCTGGCTTCCTCTGCCTGTCACTTCCCATCACTTCCTTGGAAGCCTTGTGACAAGCTGACCTATCAGAGCTGCGCTGCAAATAAGCTGAACTGAAGTCATGTTCAAACATCCATGTTAACCTCTTTATTTGAAATTTATTACTTTGTACCCTTGGCTAACCGTTGCAAAAATAAGGATCTTGTCCAAAGATGCTGTGTGATTTCCTACAATTTGAGAGGGAAAACACACAAACTCTGTATGGGAGCCATTTAAAAAACATGAGGGTTTTCTCTATCCTTCAGAACAATTTAACATGCCCAGTTGTTTTTTCAACCAAAGGGGTAAACTGTGATTGCATGTTAGGCCTCTTTCATTTAATGCCCATTTAAACTCATGAAACATGAAGTTTCTGATTCTAGCTTCCACTGCCCAGCGATGCCTTTCCTTGCTGTATGCAGATGGTACAAATATTCTTTCATTCTCAGCTACAGAGCTGAAAGAGCCCTCTGGGTGTTCCCAAAGATGGTTTTTCAAGAGGCAACTGGACTTTTCTCAAAAGGCAGCTGGATTTACCAGATAATCCAGTTGCCTCTTGAAAAAACACTTGGGACAACCGTGACCTGGATGACTGAGAATCTCCATAGACCTCTGGGTATTATTTCCTTTTTTTAACCTCTGCCCTCCCTCCAAAAAACCCAGTTAATACATAATTTGAAGGCCAAACATGCAGGCTTCTTCAAGCATGTAATGAAATGTGGCTGGCAGATAAATATGCATAAATTAGAGTAAGTAAAATAGTTTAAAAATCTGAGCATTATTTTCCAAGTTTCATTTCTTGTTGGACACAGACTATGCATTTTATGTGTCTAAGAGATTTCATGATTTCCAGATTGTTTTTCAATAATTAATATAGCAGTAGACTTATATACCGCTTCATAGGCCTTTCAGGCCTCTCTAAGCGGTTTACAGAGAGTCAGCATATTGCCCCCAACAATCTGGGTCCTCATTTTACCCACCTCGGAAGGATGGAAGGCTGAGTCAACCCTGAGCCGGTGAGATTTGAACCGCTGACCTGCTGATCTAGCAGTAGCCTGCAGTGCTGCATTTAACCACTGCGCCACCTTGGCTCTTAATCTTTTTCAGAGTACAGTACTGTATTGCTAAGATGATATGTAGTGCCACAGGTCTATGGTACTGTAGATGTAGTTAAATTGAAACTCCAAAGTTCAAATTATTGATTGAATTTTCATCAATGGTGGAGGCTGGTAGTCAGAGTTCAATAACATCTGCAGGACCAGAAATTACCTCTCCTGTATCAAAATCATTTTAAGATATTGTCTTTTTGAAAATCCACAACTTCTGGGGAAGGAGAATGAATAATAAATTAGTCCAGACTCTCCATTAAAAATAAATACATCTAATAGATTCTTACCTTTTATTCAAGATAGTATAGTAAACCATTTAATTTTTCTCTCTCTCTTTCCACCTCCCTCCCTACCTACCTACCTACCTACCTACCTACCTACCTACCTACCAGTGACGTGCAGTGAGGTTTATGGTTGGCGAGGCACTGACAGAGGGGTTTCAAATTTTTTTAGACTTGTGGACTTCAATTCCCAGAATTCCACAACCAGGCATCTTCAATTCCGATTTAAAGCAACAGCATTTGTTTTTCTCCTTTGCGAAAAAGTTTTCCTTCATTCTTTTTCTTCTCCCTCACCCTCCTTCCTCCCTCTCTCCCTCCCTCCCCCCTCTCTCAAACAGACACGTCCCTGCTACCTACCTACTGATAGCTAGCTATCAGTGTGAGGTCCTTAGTGCTATTTGAGGTTAATTGTTTTATTACCCAAATGCGTAATACTTGCATCAGTGCAAGTAAATGTGGGGTTTGCTCCTTGTTTACAAACTGGTAGGGCAATTTACTATATATAAACAGGGAGCAAACTTCATACTCATTTAATCTGATGCTGTTACCCAGTTGGGTAGTGAAACCTTTGCAAGCAAAGCAAACTTAGAGAGCACCAAGCACTCGACAGTTCAATCTTGAGTTACATATATTCTTTTCTATTGGAGATATATCAATATTTTGTGATTTCCTATATGCTCTGATTATGTGTCATCATTATCATCATCACCATCATCCAGAAAAGAAATACCCAGGCATAGGAAGTAGTGAGAAGGAAGTTGTACTTTTGTGTATTAAATGAATATTGTGTCTACTCATCTTCTGGGGATCTTAAAAGGGTCCTAGGATCAGACTCAGATATAGCAGAATCCACAACTTCTCTAAGCAACACATTCCACTACTAGGCTTATCTTGAGTCCTGCAGCTCATATTCCTTGTTGTGACCTTTCATTAGCCCAGTGTCCTTAGCTCCCTCAGTTATGTAATTGATTGTCGCCACTGATTTAAATTGCCTGTAGCTTCATTAGCAAAAAATAATGTTCTCTTCTCTGCTTCTTTCAGACCTAGCAGATAGTAGGTCTCAAAGTGTTCCTATTGACCTGCATTATTCCTGTGATGCAAATCAGAACAGCCACCTTGCTTGTTTGGAAATGTTGCACAGAGAACACAATACTTAATTCATTGACTTGATTCATTTACAGGGATTTACATTTCAGACTTTCTTGTCCAAGAATTGATCTATTGGAACAGCTATAAATATAATGTAAATTGTAAATATTAACAAACAAAATATACAGCCATCATAGAATTGAGCCATTGATCCCAAGATAGTTCACTTTTTCTTGACTTTGGCAACTTTTAAGGTGTAATATTCAACTCCCAGAATTCCCCAGCCAGCATGTTTTTATGTACTTGCATGCTGATATCAGGTCTCCCCCTCAATCTTCTTTTTTTTTCTCAGCTGAACAACCTTAAGTTCTTTAAGCTTGTCCATAAACATGATGCTTTCCAGAAGAGTTGGGATGCTGGATAGATGTTTCCCCACCAAACTTCCCTGAATGATATGAATTTAGGGATTTGGGGGTAGTTAAACGGATGAATTGACAGAAATAAACAGAAACCATTACCTAAGTAAAAAGGCTGAAACATTTTTAATACCCAGAATTGATGAGAGCTGGACAGCATATAAGTGATGATGATGATAATGATTGTCCAAAGATAACATTTGCAAATGGCTCATGCAGACACTTCCCTGATTTTAGTGGACTACAGTAAGGAACAATTGGTACAGCACAATCAAATTTACAAGGTTTTGCTCTTTTAGCCAATCTCAGTCAATAAAAATAGTTTAGTTTTCACGTGGAATTCATTTCCTGATCTGGTCACCTACTGGAGCTGACATGTAGAATATGCTTGCACAACATGCTTAGCATGTTGGTATGAACCGTGGGTAAGTTACATATCCAGTCATCCAATCTCGTAGGGAGTGGATATTTTGGATAGCAGCTCAGCCCTTTTCATGTTTTTCATATTTATACCCTAAAATGTCAAAGTCCATGCCCCATAAAGCATAGCAGGGGCAAAAAATACAGAGAAAAACAAAATGGCTGCCAAAGACTTATTTTGCAGCTGCCACAATCATTACCGGTAATCTCTAGCTGGAGATAGGAAAATGGATTGATTTCAGAATAACCCTGGGTGAAATTCAGATGTAATAGGGAACTCAGGATAAAGTTCTTTATGACTCATCTCAAGTAGAAACAATGACGAAGATATTTGGTGTTAGCTCAATTTTGTCCCAAGGTCTCAAATTGAGTAATACAGAAGGTACTGATTAGTATGTGTGCCAGGTGTTGGCTGAGTAGCATGATTTAACTGCCTTAAGAAGGTGGAACAGGAAACACTGCAACAGCCAGGCCACTCCTCTTAATCTTTCATTCTCCAGAGCTTCAGTGGCAATGAGGGAGGCCTCCCAAGGAGGACTTGTGATTGATGTTGTCTTAGGTCTGAGACTGTAAGATAAGAGACCCGAAATCTCTTCTCATGGAGTGACTGTTAGAGTGAAGGAGACAGACCACTGATGCCATTATAGATGTTTCAAAATGTGGTGGCCCAAATCCATGATGGGATAGTTGCACTGGAATATAATTACGGTAAACTTATCTTGAAATTGCTGAATTTGTTGCTGGGTATTTTTCAGAGCTAACTTGGAATACTAAGTATTGTTGCTTCTTCTTCTTTTTTTTAAAACATAATTTCATTAATAAAGCAGCAAAAATAAAGTACATGCTAAAAAAATATGAAAAGGGTGCAAGAAAGCAACTTCCCCAAAAGTGACTTCCTACAATGTTTATGACAAATGTAAGTTCCACATCTCTCCATGACTTCTTCATCGCAAAACTCACGTGTTAACATTAAGCAAAGCAAATTAAGTAACCTGTTCTCCAATCTGTTTATCAGCAAGACAGAAATCTAAAATATTTAGCTTAACTAACATAAAATCAACATTCCACATCTTAATTCTTAGCTATGACACAATCCTATTTATAAAGCATAAAATATCTTAATGTAAAAAAATCAAAAATCCAATTTAATGTAACATTGAGAAACTTTTCCTCTTTACGTGTGAAAAACCCCAGTACTTAAATATTAATAGTTCCCTGAAAAAAAGCCACTCTAAATGCAACATATCCCGTTCAAACATTTTAAATCTTAACTATAAATAAATTCACAATTCAGAAATATAAACTAATTCCATTATCATAATAGAAACAATGGATTAAAATATAACGAGAAATGACTTGTCCTTTATAGACAAATTAAATTTCTTTACTTAGAATAAAAAACACAAGTATTATCAAAGCTAAGAAATGATAATTTCTTAAAATATAATCAAATTTAGTATGCAATATTTTCCAATTACAATATCAATAAATCCCAAAAAGAGCCACCCAAAATAATAACATATCCCATTTTTACCCCTGGTCAAATAATCCAACAATGTACAAAACATCACTTCTAAAGCCCTTCATGGCATTTCACTGAGTTATATGAGGCAACTTTTTTTGCTACTTTCTGATTCAAATCCCTAGAGAAGGTCTGTCGGGGCCTTCTAGTTTACAAGCTCCATGGGGTAAGAATCAGATAACAGGTTTTTTCAGTGGTGGCCCCCATTTTTTGTACTACCTTACCCCCAGAAGTGAAAATAATTCCCCCTTTCCCTATATTTAAGGGACATATCAAAACTATTTTAATATAGCAGTTATTTGAACCCTGGTTTGTGTTGGTATCTTTTATTTTATTTTATTATGGTTTTAGTTGTGTGTAGTACCATAGCTATGTTGTATGCTAAACAGGGTTGATTAAGGTGGCTTGGAAATACACTAAATAAATATTAGTTGCTGAATGACAATGGCTATTTGTATCATCAGAACAATGGCTTTCATTTTTTCCTTTGGGAGGGAGAAAGAAACTCAGATGACATACTGCAGGCTTCAGTTATAAGTATCGTCCAAGTATATACGGCTGAGTATATAGGCCTATGTAGAGTATATAGGATTTCATACAGGATTTGAAATCCAAAATATGATTTCTTAAAAATGTCTGCTTATTTATAATCTTTGTTTCAATGGTGTTTCTATGTAAAATGACCCTTGGCATTGTCCCTATTATTTTTCACTGGGCATCTGGCTTTCCCAGATTAGGATCTTTCTATTTTTATGCCTATCATAGGGAAAAATAAAAAGGAAACGATAAAGACCTTACGTCTGACAGGTCCAGAACCAAATCCTTTTCCTAGGAGCGCTAGGATTAGTTTAGTAGATGGAAGTAAATAGGAGATTATGAAATCATTGAAATGTCACCAAAAGGAAAAGTGGGGCTCAGTAAAAGTGGGAAGGTATGAAGAGGAGAGATTGTTCCTGAAATTAAAAAAAACAAAACAAAACAGAGCAGGATGTTGTGCTGAAAATGAAATGTGCTATACAAAGTTATCCAGGTCACTTAGCAAACAAGAAGGAAAGAGTTCTTAATGCGCACTGGCCTATCTCGATCATAAAAATCCCATATTGCGTGTGACTGCATTTGCTTTTCCCCCCCCCATCGGTGTTTTGTTTTTGCCTGAAATGCAGCTGGAATGAAGTCTCAACCTAGTCAGTGCAAGATGGATTTTCCTCCTTTTATCTTTATGGCTTCTCTTGTCTTCACTATAAGCTTTGTGGGGTGAGATCTTATCTTGTTAATAAATTGTTGTATATAATGATTGTGCTTTAAATAATTGTATATTTACAAACGAGGACTGGTCACATGTTTATTTCTTTTTTTGAAGCTTATACCGCCATCCATCTCTTAAAACAAGTGACCATATATAGCGGATGTGAACATTACACTGATTCAGAAGAGAGTATATTGAGATCAGTTCAGTACTTTATCATTTATATCCTGTGCTCTTTATTACACAACACAAACCAATATATTTATTTAACACCTCCTTTAATTCAGTGAATTCGGATTCAAAGTAGGTTGCTGGCAAAAATAGCTAGTTGTTTTACCAATTCTACTCTTTAAAGAAGATTCCCATGAACATGAGAGGTTCAACTACAGTTGATAACTATGATGATGATTATTATTTTTAAATTCATGTATTCTGTTCTTAGGTGGAGCTTCCAGTTATCTGCCATCCAGAATGTTTATCAGGCTAACATCTGCTCACTCCAGCTGCTGGTATTTCCAAACTGTTTAATAGCTGTTCTTGCATCAACTTTTCCTTTGAAAAGCTAAGCAGTGGGTTTATGAGGTGAGATGAGTGGATTTATCTTGCTAGCAAAGGTAAGCAAAGGCCTTGCATTTTCTTCTCCCAATAATTTCCAAGTTGACCAGTGGCTTGTTCTAGTACTTTCTCTGAAGAGACGCAGTTTTGCAACGTGATATTTTGTGAGCAGAAAAACTGAGTTCCTGAAAGTGCTTTTTCAGGTTAATTCTTAATCAAAGGAAGATCAGGAGAATGGATGTTAAAAGAAGAAAGAGAGAGAGAGAGCGAGCATTGCTAAAACTGTTTGGAAATGGTGGGGGGGGGGGACTTTGACAGAGTTTGGTGTTTACTGTGCTCCAGTAAAAAAAAAAAAAAAAATTCAGGAAAAGAGTTGGTATATAGCTGTTTCGACTTGGGGTCAAAGTCCTGGGGCTGTCTGGGAGGCCAAGCCTGTTTTTCATGATCAATGGATGCCAATAGTTAGTGACCTAGTTTATATATTTAATAGTTTGGCTTATAATAACGAGGACTTTCACATGGCATTTTCTGAAGGCACCAGATACCAATGATCACAAACCAGCCCCGGGACTCCTGTTCGATGTTGCTGGTGGGGCACCCAGACTTATCTCTCTGCCTCATTTTCAAGAAATTGCTTGGATTCCTTCATGTTCTCTCCTCCCCCCCCCCCACCTCTGCTCTGGGCATCCAAGCCATCTTCCCATGTGCTGCATGAAAGCCCACATATTAAATGGCTGCCTATTTACCCTTGAATAACACTGTGGCTCACCTCAGAAATATGGTGAAGTGGTCAAAACAAGGGGTGGGGAGTGGAAATCAGGACATCCCATAATGGGCTTCAGTTTCCCACTAACCCCTTTTCTTGTTAGCACCTGTCTCTTTCTCCAAATCATCCTGCTTTCCTTCACCAGCATTTCCCCAAATCCAAAAAAAAATCTACACATACCTCACTGCTGGTATCTTCCATGCCCCACTCACCATTTTTCAAAGTTGGCTTTCAGTTCAGCACAGGGGGGCTCCTCTGGGGAAGCATCTGGAGTGCCTTGTCCTTTTGCAGGGACTTCTGGCTGGCTGGGACTCTGTGACATGTTGCAGCTCCTGGTCTCTGTGTGCTTGAAATCTGTCCTGATCAAGGGGAGCGAGGAGCATTCTGGCTGGAGGCAGCCCTGCCCACCAGTCATGCGGGAGGGGTAGACAGATAGGCTGGGTGGGTGGATCTTGGGTATGGGAGATATGCTTCAACAGCCTGCACCGCCTGGTTTAATTTGTAGAGCTTAGTTGGGAGAGGCACCATCTCTCCCACGTGAGGATGGATCTGCTATGTGGGAAGAGGGGGGGGGGAACGATGGATGGTGTCTCTGGCCTGGAAATGGCCTCAGGTCAGATCCAAGGAGACCAGTCCCTGTGAGCAGGAAAAAGAGTCTGCATGGGGAGAAGGTGATCGGCAGATGCTTGCTTGGAATTTTGTTTTTTTATGTACAAGTTCAGAATAATCACTACGGCTTATGGAGGAATGTCAGGGTTTCCAGCCATCATCCCAAAGGAAGCTTATATTAGCCGATTGGTTGGGTTCAGTTACTGACTAAACTTCAGTTATGATATGTGGACATATTGTACCGTGGAATATATGTGGGTCAGTGTGCAATAACACAATGCCCGTGACCCATGTTATTATTTCATCTGGCGAAGTGGGGATGGAGAATTTAAGAGAGGCTGGAATCATACATTTACCTAAAGAGGAAGACAGGGACCATCCTATCCCACTGTCACGACAGCTGTACACAGAGACTGGCAGGCTGGAATTACTCCATAGTGAATAGTGCCACTCTGCACATGCTCGGGTTTTAATACATAGCACTGAAAGCAAGGAACTTAGATTAGATACCAAGACCAGGGACTGCCTCAGGGAGAATGTGCTAGTGAAATTTTCCATAAACTTTTAACCTGCCTCAGATTGAATCTTGAAAGTTTGGTTGCTTCTGTGTGAGCATTGCTAAGATCATGAAAGAGAGGGGGGGAGGAGGGGAGAAGGAGAAGGAGGAGGAGGAGGAGGAGGAGGAGGAGGAGGAGGAGGAGGAGGTGGAGGAGGAGGAGAATGTGAAGGAGAATTTCATGTTGGTATAAAGCCGGGAATTTTGGTGCATGGCAGTTATGCCCTGTTAACTCTGAGATGGATAGATCACACCAGACTTTTCTACTGTTGTACAGGTAGCTTTCAACTTATGACCACAATTGAGTCCAAAATTTCTGTTGTTAAGCGAGACATTTGTTAAATGAGTTTTGCCCCGTTTTACAACCTTTCTTGCCAGTGTTGTTAAGTGAATCACCCACAGTTAGTAACCTGGTTGTCGTGAATCTGGCTTTCCCATTGACTTTACTTGTCAGAAAGTCACAAAAAGGTGATCACATTCTGTGACCTTGGGAGGCAGCGTCCGTCATAAATATGAACCAGTTGCCAAACAGCTGAATTTTGATTACATGATCATGGGGGATGCTGCAAAGGTCGTAACTGTGAAAAACGGTCACTTTTTTCAGTGCCATTGTAACTTTGAACGGTCATTAAATGAATTGTTGCAAGTTGAGGATACCTGTATTTGGGTTGACCAAAACAGTCCAGAACGATTGTTATTGTAGTAGTTTGGAAGTTTATTTAAGTTCAAGGAGAAAAAAAAAGAGTGCATAGGTGTTTGCTCTGTGTTTTTATTAGTTGCATAGCCCATTTTCCTTTAGGAGCTCAAGGTGGCAGGCACGGCAGTCTCTCCTCCCTCCCCCGCCCCCCTGGCCCCCGCCTCCACAACAACCTTTGAGGGAGGTGGGGTTGCTGGGAGACTGTGATGAGCCCATGTTCACCCAGGGGCCTTCAGCCCCACCTTCTTTCCCTGGCCTTGACGTACAGGTGGCTTGTGGCCAGGGCCTTCATTGGATCTACTGTCGAGGAGCGGAGGGGTGCCTCCCAGGAGAGATAAGCAGCTTTGTGTTCATAGCTTAGCCATGATGTCTTTGGGTATATAAGGATTTTTAAAATTGGTTAATAGACAAATTATGTGGGCGGATCTGGCAGCGCCGCAAGATCTTCTTCCTGTCTACTGAGTATTAAGACTGATTGAATTCAGTAACTCCTGGGTGCATATGCAGAAAAGGGTGATTCCATGAAGTAGTCTAATTGTTAAAGGGATGTGTGCTGCAAAGATTGCTAATGCAGGTAGTCCTCAACTTACAACAGTTCATTTAATGACCTTTCAAAGTTACAATGGCACTGGAAAAAGGTGACTTATGACCGTTTTTCACAGTTACGACCTTTGCAGCATCCCCATGATCATGTGATCAAAATTCAGAATGCTTGGCAACTGGTTCATATTTATGACCGAGGCTGAGTCCCAAGGTAATTCAATGGGGAAGCCAGGTTCATTTAACACCCGGGCTATTGACTTATCAACTGCAGTGATTCATTTAACAACTGTGGCAAGAAAAGTTGTACAATGGGGCAAAACTCATTTAACAAATGTCTCTTAACAACAGAAATTTGAGGCTCAATTGTAGTCATAAGTTGAGGACTACCTGTATTCAATTCAATCCAAAGTTGTGCACAATTTTGTCTTAAGACTGAAGAGAAAATATAAATATTCAACAGTATCCTAATACCACCACCACCACCACCACCACAACAACAACAAAAGCAAAGAGGAAACAATAGACATTATGTATTGTTTGGAAGAATATTAGCTTATCTTTGGACACTAAAAAGAAATGGGTTTAGGAAATGAGAGAGAAAAGCAGCGCAGGACAGTGTGAATTTATATGATCAACATCAGTGCACAAACCGTAATTGACCAGGAGTGCGTGTGTTACATAAAAGCTCCATGTTTTCATTTCCTCCTTGACTCCTGGCCAGAGATGAAATTCAGCTACCATAAAGAGATTGTGATTTTTTTTAAAATATGGGTCTGTGCTGACCTCTGGTGGTCAGGAAACAAAAATGTAACGTTGTAAACGATTCTAAAAAATATTTAATCAGGTATTCAGAAAAGCTTAACTTTTGGTGACGTGGGAGGAAGGCAGAATTATTGTCTTCTTAAAAAAATATTAGGAATGGACTTGGGGAGGGTACAAATATATTCAAAATACAAAGAATACAAATATGTTCAGTATATCAGCATAAGGGTATTAATTCCAGTTGCAGTAGCAGTTATAGGATTTGTGACAAGAATCCCACAAAGTGTCTCAAGTTCAAGTTAACCAAACACTGCAATGAAGCCTTTTGCAAGTCTGTGTTGAAGGTGAATATGATTTGAAATTTTCCAGCTGAGATTTCAAAACATTTAGTATTATTAGCTGCTTAGAGTCATATTCATTTATTTATTAAATCTATTTGCTGGCTATCTTGCTATGGGACTACTCTTTTCACATACTTGAAATGGGTAGCCATAAAAATCTACCAAATGAATGTCCCTATGCATTAGATTTAAACTCTGTTCATTTAAGAGTACAAGATGGCATAGAGAGCATTCCCTTTCCACTCAATTACCACTAACCCAATAAAGAATGCAAGTCAAAGTTATACTCAAAGGCTATAAACCAGAGGTGGTATTCAATTGGTTGTGACTGGTTCTGGTGAAGTGGTAGTGAAAATTTTGAGTAGTTCAAAAAACCAGCAAATACCACCTCTGGCTACTCCTGCCTCTATCTATTTGTTGCGTCCTCTCCGCTGATCGGCTGGGTCTTCTTTTGTTGCCTTCTTTTGAACAGAGTTGGAAAGCAGGTTAATGGGGTGGGGAGGGAGTGGGGATTTTGCAGTATTCTTACCCTGCCATGCCCACCAAACCATGCCACTCCCACCAAGCCACACCCAGAGAACCAGTAGTAAAAACATTTGAATCTCACCACTGCTATAAACCATAATTGTGGGTTAAATTCATGCCCTGGTTTGTGCAACATGCTGAGGCATTGAATAGGATCCTGTTCTGCTCCGGGCAATGAGGGTTCTGCTCGGGCAGCCAGTTAACTCCACGCTTGGGAATATTTTTCAGATCAAGTTTATTGTCAGGAATCCTTAATAACAAAACTTACAGTTCAGTAATGAGGTTCTTCTGACTTTCCCTGATCTGTCCCTTCACGTGGTGTAAAAAGACATTAATTCCTCTAACCCATGCTGCTGGTACAAAGCTGCTTCTGCTAGTGCTGACAGGGATTCAGTGAGTGCGAAGCAACAAACAATTTCCCCCCGGGCAAAATACCCACTGCCCAATCAGGGAGCATAGATGTGGTCACATGTTTAGATCCTCTAAAACTGGGTCACAAACTGGCTTCTGTGTAACTCAGTCTACCATTTTTGCAAAATCCAATTGTAGAGTTGAAAGAAGTCATTAAGAAGCCACACTTAAGAAGACCTTTAAACCATTTTTGAATATTTTTAATGTTACTTTTGTACAGAAGCAGTATTTCACTAGAAATGAAAAGAAAGTTCAACATAAAATCAACCGTTGGAAAAGGAGGACAAATAAAGAGTAGAAAATGTACACTGAACACAAAAAGAAAATAGCTTCATGTTGTAGTGGAACTGTGATGGTTATTAATTCCAGTATTACCTTCCTCTAGTATAGTTTATTCAGAATGTCAGCCGTAGTTATAAAGACTTAAGTGGCTGCATTCATATAAAATGCGACTCTTGATTTTAATGGCTAATATGTTGAACAAGCCCAGTCATTTGATAAATTCAATGTAGTGAGAGGATCCATGAATTAGATTATTTCATGAACTAGGCTGAGCATGTATGAGAACCCAATCATTAACCTGGCTAGAAGATCACTTCTGGGATTTGTGTACTACATGGAAGTGCATCTGGGATAGGTTCACACCTCTTGACCACTGTTCGTACTTGAGCCACAACTGCATTGTGACTGGTACCTTGGATGGGGGCAATTCGGGTTGCTCCGCTATGATAGTAACGAGTAGCAGTGGCATTGAAGGGAATATTTGCTCTCATTTTCATGCCACCCATTTCCAGTTCACAGTGGTGGTTGGGTGGGACTTCAACTTCAACTGTGTCAGAGTAAATGATTGATTCACTCCGTGTGTAACCTTTAGTCCAGTTGAATGTTTTCTCTGATGAAATGCCCCAGGATATTCCTAAGACTTCAGGTATCCCTGCTGTCATTGTAAAGCCTATGCCCTGAGACATGGACATGCCAACATCCCAGCTATGTTCAGAGGTCACTGTTCCTGATAAGGTGGTTGACTTCTTCACTGTCCTACAATCATAGTTGGTAACTTTGCTAGAGACTATGGATATGCCTGATTCAGTGAATGATCCATGGTCTAGAAAGTACTTGACATTGGAGATGCTCTGTGAGCGATAGTCTTTATTAATGGTCAGGACATCATAGTATTTATAATAGTACTCCTTACCATTCCAGCCAAGGAAGAAAGCTTGGTTTTTACTATCTACCTTCCCTAATCCATACTTATTTTTACCAACATATAAATTTATACCTGCACATGTGTTGATGGAGTTGGGTGGGACCTTACCCCATGAACCCGCTTTCCAGCTTAGGGATTCAAAGTCATGTCCATTCATCAAAATCCAGAACTCAGAAGTGGAATATTCTTTGTTTCCAAATGGGTAATAGCAGTAAGGACCCTGGCTGGGACTGTAGTAGCCAGCAGCACAGTATTGTTCAATGCAAGGATATTCCCATCTGCCAGCATAACTATTCCAGTAAGGCACAGCTTCAGAAGGTATAGATCCTGGGAATAAAGTCCAACTCATAGTAGTTCCGTAGAAAACGCTAACATTTCTACTAGAATGTTGGATGTCATCATTCTGGTCTTGAGCACTGTTGGCTTTATCTGAAAAGTGAAAAATATGTCAATCAGTTAATTTTAATGAAGAAATATAAGCATATTTTCTGGAGATCTTTCTCAGACATGTGAGTAGTCTATTACTGTATGTCTATGGAGACTCTCAGTTGTCCAGGTCATGTTTGTCATAAAGATGCTTTCTTTCAAAAGACAAGAACGTCCAGTTGCCTTTGGAAAGAAAACACCTTTGGGTCTGTTACTGTAGGATTCTAACATAGTTCCAATCCATCTGCTAAATCATTTGTTTATATATTGATATTAATGCATTACTAAACTACTATGTCCAAGACTTTCTCATGGCTTCATGAAATAAAAACTGAAAAATCATTTGTAAAAATATTAAACAATGCGACTCTGCTCATCATTTTTATTTGTTAAAACATATAGGGTTTTTCCCCCCCATGAAAAACATTTTCAATTGATATCTAAGGTCTTTCTGGGTCTTCCATAACTTTTATAAGTGGGGACATTCTTCAAAGAAAAAATATCAGAAACATTGATCTACTGCAATTTTGGATATTATTTTTGTAGGTTTCTGTTAATTTTAATGGATGAAAGTTATACTCTGGGCTAGAATTTGTATATGACCCTTATATATGCATACACTATATGTACAATCTATTGCTTGTATTTTGTTTTGGTTTGTAATTGTTGTTCTGCCTCCCATTTGAACTTCAATTCATAAAGTATATAATCCACACCCTAGATGAGGAGAGGGCAGTGTCTTCACTTCACTTGTACTTTCTCTTTCTCTATTGACAGAGACTTGCCAACATACAATCAGTATTTAAGATTTCAGCACTTGAGATTCTTTATAGGGAATAGTATGAGACCTGCTTCATCCAAATGCTCTACTCCTGGTATTGATATATGGAAACCTTACTTATATGGATTTCAATTACCAGAATTCCTCAACTAGCATGATGCTAACCCAGAATTTGATGATTTGCTGGTCACATAAGATATTTTGGGCAAGTAAACTTTAAACAAAACAGTTGCAATATTTAGGACGTCTTGGAATGTTATGACCACCATAGTCTATCTTGCTTCTGTCCACAGTGCAATTTCATTTGGTTGTAGAACGGATTTCAATGAGATCAACTCAATACGGTTCTTCAAAAAAGAAGCTCAAGATGAAAAAATTTGTAGACAAAAGGAATTTCTCCATGGATAAAGCTCACTTTATATACCTGGGATCAACTGAGGAGGATTTTTCTTCACTGTTCTCTTTTGGAGTTCAAGATTACTGTTGACTTCAATGGCCAGGGGCCCATCTATGATCAGTGAAAGGAAGAGAGTGCAGAACAGTAGATGCATCTGAAACACAAATCAGAAGATCATTTCAGATTTTGGAAACATTGCCAATAAACTGCTATTTTATTAATTCCCTTCCCCTCTGTCCCTGCTAGTGCTCTTATGTTTTAAACACAAGTCTTACATATTAAAAAACAAAGAATAAACTTTTATTCAGGCACTTTTAAAATATTTAGCTATAGGTAAGTATGGCTGGAGCTAGAAAAATGTGGTCAATTTGAGTAGTAAGAAATGAGGGGGGAGGGAAATGCCAGGCTTTTGAACATCAAGCCAAAATGATTCAATGCACATTGCATAAGCTATTTTTGAAGACAAGAATTCCCCATTAAACAAGTCACCAATTCAATTTACTCTTAAGTAACTGTCCAAAAAATCATAGATTGAATGACTACAGCGAACTGGTAACTTACTATGATTGACTGATTGAACTGAATTATATAGTATGGAGGAGAGACATTTATATTTGTTCAATTTACCCCCCCCCCTTTCTGCAATTCTTGGAGGAAAGGAGTATTTCCATTACATGCCTTGTTGCCAATTAGAGTGGAGAAGTTGCCTATAATGAGATGAAGCCCAGGTGTACTAGATGTGGCTGCTAGGGCCAACATAACTTTAAAAAATGACATTTTGATCTCTAGCAGAAAAAGATGAGTGGAAGTTTGCCTTCCTGGGCATATGAAGATCAGGCATTTCAGACTCATATATAAGATGTAGCTCAATTTTTACCCCAAGAAGATGGTTTTTAGAGAAATCACCGTGTCACTCTACTACAAATAATAAACTACAAAGACAAGGCTACTGAGCAAAAATAGAGGCACTGATTTTAAGCCGAAAAACATCAGTAAAATGTCACCAGGATATTTATCTGCCCTTCTTCTAAAAGACATCTATCCACAAGTCACGTTAGGTAAGCTGCATGAAATACTGAACTCCTACTAATTATATTTATAATGGCGGCAACTTACCTTGGGATCTCTTTCAGAAGTCCAAGGCTTTTGATGTGGCAATTGTTGTCCTATTTATATAATTTACAGAGAAAAAAAAAAGGGTTACGGGGTGGGACTCGTCTTGCAAAGAGAAAAATCCTAATTGAGTAGTGATGTGAGTTTCATAAGTAATTGAGAATATCCATTTCTGATTATCACAAAGTGGCACCTTGAGAATGATTTATGGAAAATATATCTCATGAACTCTCCAGTTTCTAAAGTAAATATTTGAGTAGAAATTTCAGGTGTTCGTTTGATGCTCTGTCTCATACTGAAGCCTTCTAGATATTTTCGGAAGCTTACAACTGGAGCCTTTTTGTCCTAGTCTTGTCTACCCCAATGACATTTGGTGCCACACAGGTTCAGAAAATGCTTGTTTTGTAGAACCATCTTAATTAAAGCACCTACAGAAAAACGAACATCCATTTATTTTATTCCCTTGGAAATACATCTTGTTAATGACCATTATCATATCTTCTGGCAATGAATTCAATAAATATGTATTGCATTAAGGAATACTTTCTTTTATCTGGATCAAATCAATTTCATTGCACGCTTCTGCTGTTCCTGGAAAGAATTAGGAAAATTCTGGTTAATTTCTTTTTTTAATCTTGTACCTAATTGATGGTTTTATTGTTGTATAATTGATGGCTTTATTATTGCTCTAAAATGGCAAACATTTCAGCCCTTTATTATAGGAAAACTGCCCCGAAGACTCTGACTTTTTGCTCTGTTCTGCTTCTCTTTGCCACTATGTGAGTTTTCATCTTATAAGAAAGAAGATAACAAAAAAGTCATTTGCCTGGATATTGTAACAGAAATGTACAAATATTGTACATTTGTCAGCCCATGTTCTTCTAAATGGTGTAGAATTATCAGAATGAGATTAATAGAATCTTATCTTCTAATTGTCTATAGAGATCCTCAGTCATCCAAGTAATAGTTGTCCTAAAGGTGCTTTTCGAAGAGGTAGCTGGACTTTCTTGTTTTTCTTTGAAGACATTTCACCTCATCCAAGAAGCTTCTTCAGCTTTGACTGGATAGTGAGGAATGGAAGGATTGCTTGCAGGCAGATACGGTAATCATTTGCATTCTTTTAGAGAGTTGTTGAAGCCACTTAGAGCTTTGTCTGTTTCGTCAAGGTCACCTGAGTAGTGCAAATGGGTGTGAAACCTTCTTGCAACTGCTGAACAGACTGTGTTATGTAGCTGTGCATTCTGCACAGGATGTTTTTTTCCACTGTCCCTTCACTATTGAACAGGCTGTTGGGGATGAGTCTGTGTGGTCTGCATAGTCAACCATTGATTTCCAACATAGTGGGTACGGTACTCATCTGGCTGGTAAATAATCACATACCTAGTCCATATCCTATGTCAGGCATTCTGATCTTTCTGTGTGATACATTATATGCACACCAAAGGATACCAAAATTATACCTCAGGAATTGCTGACTCAAGCTGTGGTGGAGGGTACATTAACCTGGCCACCTGGCTATATGCCAACTGCCTGCTCACATTTGACTAGAAGATGCAGAACCATTTTTTTGAAAAGTTTTTTTTTATTTTAATAGAACAAAAACAAAAAAAAGAGAATCATCCTTCATTACATCTTGTAGAAAGTGTGTTGATTGGTTACAGATAACTTTCGTGCATTTCTTCCACAGTCATTACTTATAGTTCATATTAGATTATATATTTTATATCAAAAATCTTTGTATATCTTACTATCAATGTACCACAATTCTCATTTGACTACAATTATATTATGAGATTATCATATAAATGTGCTAGTTTCTAAATGTTCGAGGGCAAATTGTGTGAATCTGAGTGCCTAATGAGGGCTTCTATAGATTCTGCAATGCATATATCAAATGAATTGAAGTCAACAAATAGTCTAGAGCACTAAAATTGTTAGTGGCAAGGAACATCCCTTAATTTCCTTGCTAGTTTTCTTTAGAGATACTTTTTCTTTTCTCACTGTTTAAAATTTGTGACTTTTCCTGTCTTGCACTTATCACTGTTATATAACTTTTACATAAGAGTGATCTTTAGTTAATTTTATACATATTAAAAAGTGAGTCAGTGGAAAAGTTTTAGATATAAATATCCTTGGAAATAAATGAACTTGGGAGCAGGAAAGATCAAAATATTTGAATGGAGATAACAGTATGAATTTATCTCTTTATCCTCTGAAGGCTATACTTGATACTGTATATTCTAGAGCTAATTATATGATCAATGTGTAGAAGTTGCTTAAGCAAGTAAGATATCATATGGAGAGGAGAACTGGAGTAAAATAGTAGCTCTTGGGGAGTTGGGTGTAAAACCTGATGAAACATTTTTTTAAAACCCAATTTCTAGTTCCAGGTTTTAAAGAATCCTAGCTATGTTATTAAGATGTAAGAACTCAGCTGGCTCAGAGAAAAAAAATCCAATGGCTAGTGGAAGGAGAACAAGTTCTATTTAATAAGACTGAGATTGAGTTGAAACTGGATTTACAAATGATATACTATAAAAATGACATGGAAAAAGAAGCTATACCGGCATACAAAAAAAATTGGCTAATGAAATAAACTGAAGATTACCTGAATAATTTTTCTATATTGGATTTACAAATTAGATATTAAAATGTTTAAAGATATCATGAGAAATAACAATTAAAAAGTAAAAATAAACTAAATTCTATGATATTATTTGAATGAACCAAGGATTAAGATTGTTAGAAGTAAAAGGAAAGAATATAAAGTTGGTATATTTGAACAAGATTAAAATGGATTTGTTGTTATTTCAGGTGGCACTTAATGGACTTTTGCTAACATCATGATAATATTTTATGGATTTGTTTGTAAGCAAAAAAAAATGGGCCATAAAGAGAAGACATTATTTGTTGATTTTAAGAAAAGATTACTAAAATTGTTTATTCTTGTTGGAATGAAGTGGGAAGCTACATATTATTTATATGTATATGTATATGTATATGTATATGTATATGTATATGTATATGTATATGTATATGTATATGTATATGTATATGTATATGTATATATTGCTTTATTCTTTATTTCTTTTCTCTTTCTATTTCTTCCTACTTTTTTCTGCATTTCCCCTATTTTTATTCTTTTATCTTTTTTAGTTTGCATTGGTTTTAGTTTTGTACATTTATACTCTTTAATAAAATTATTACATTTAAAAAAATGAAAATTCAATTTAAAAACTTTATGGAATCAAATTTTAAAACACAATATTTGCACACCATACATAAATACACTCATTCACCCACACACATTCAT